ATTTAGTACAAAAAAAAAGTAAATCCCATATGGTCTAGAGGTTAAAAACCTAGCTCTTAACATGACAAGGGTTTTTTAAAACCCTGTATATTAGTAATATATTATATATAAAACGTCTATAGACGTTTTACAAAATTAAAATGTTCAGTACTACTACTTAATTAAATTAAAGTCTTTATTATTATTGCTTTTACTTTTTACTTATATAATCATATTATCAACTGGCAAAAATAAACACCCTTGTTTTTAAATATGTATTTTTATTAACATAGGTTGTTAACAAAAAATAATTAAATATGTGATATTATTAAGCTATAACGTTCCAGGGTTTAAAAGAACCTGGTTTGGGATCCACCATCTGAAATTTAAAAGAAATATAATATAACCTTATAATGATAATATAGAAGTTTCGTCTACCTTATTTGTAATATTATCTACGCATGCCATACGAATCTTAGCTGATGTTGCAGGAGGATCGATTTTAAAAGGGGCGTCGATTCCATTTTCTTTTCTTGCAGCTTTGATAGCATTTTGAATAGCGTACAACACAGAACTAGCAAGGAATAAGGGAGGCTCACCAACAGCCTAAAAAATATCATAATATAAAGATTTCGGTTTATTTAGAAAGACCTATCAAAAACTAAAATGTAAATGATATTTAGATCAGAAACAGAATGTATACAAAAAATAATGGAATCAATGTGTACCTTCGAAGAATACACTGCTCTGGGATTTGATACACCTTTGAGCAGAGACACGTTAAACTCAAGAGGGATATCAGCAAATCCTGGTAATTTATACGTTCCTGGGCCTCTGGTAATAGTCGCACCTGTTGGTGAATAAACCATTTCCTCCAAAACAAACAAACCGTAACCTTGCATAAAGGCACCCTCAATTTGCCCTATATCAATAGCTGGATTAATACTTTCTCCTAAATCCATTATTATGTCGGTTCTAATGACTTGGTGATCCCCCGTAAGTGTATCTACCTCCACTTCAGTACAGGCAACGCCGTAGGTAAAGTAATTGAACATAGTGCCCTCGCTCGTATCCCAGTTATAACCAATATCAGGAGTTTTATGGAAACCTGTAGCTGATAGACTAACTCTATCCATGTACGCTTTTAATACCCATTGCTTCCAGGATAAGTCAGGGAATTTCTCTCTATAAGGCCTGAGGCGCTCTCTTATAACTAAACAGGCCTCCTACAAATCAAAACTCTTAATTTAAAGAAACAAATTATTTTTATTTTGCTACCATCACTGCCATTCCGTTCAAATCCGAGCCAGTACTGGCCGCTGTTGATGAAGTATTTGGTACTTTGTCAGTGGAGGTTTCGCTGATGTGAATTAACTCGACAGGTATATCAAGAGTTCTACTAGCAACTTGTATCATTTTGGTATACAAACCCTGACCCATTTCAACACCACCGTGGGATAATAGCACTGAACCATCAGTATAAACCAAAATCAAAGCACCAGCCTGGTTCAAAAACGGAGCTGTAAAACCTATTCCGAATTTTGTTGGGATAACGCTTATGCCGCGTTTTTTGTATTTGTGTTCCCTTAAAAATAAAAAAAATGCCACCTTCATAACTTTATAATTGCTCATAAGTAAGTATGACTAACTAAAATGGAAAACGACAACTAAAACGGTTAAACACATCTGATATTTTTTTTTAAATTGATTTTAGACTTTATAAAAATAATGTACATGATACCCAAGTAAAAAAGGCAAAAATCACAAACGCATTTAATAAGCATTAGATAATTGATATAATTTAACTTACTTATTAAACTCATTAATCTTTATTTTTCTTTCCTGATAATTAGCTGAGGTAACGCACTCTCTCCAGCATTTATCCAAAGTACAGTTGGTCAACGTTTGATTATAATACGTGATGTCTCCTTCTTTGTATAAATTCAGCTCCCTTATTTCGAATGGATCTTTTTTTAGATAGTCCGCTATATCTTGGAGTATACATTCAGTGGCGTACATACCTTGAGGACTTCCAAATCCTCTAAAGGCTGTATTGGAGGGCAAATTCGTTTTACAAGGGTAACCTGTAACACGCACCACTGGGAACCTATAAGCATTCTCAAAGGTAATCATGGCTCTTTCCAAAACATTAATGGACAAGTCCAAAGCATATCCGCAATTGCTGTAGCAATGAATATCGCATCCCAAAATGTTTCCTTTGTTGTCGAAGGCCACTTTGTAGGTGAACTTGAAAGGATGCCGGGCCCCAGTCATTATTATATCCTCGTCCCTATCCAGCATGCATCTTATTGGTCTTTCTGTAATATAGCAATATACATATGCAGTTATATTAATGGGATAATTAAATGTTTGACTAAAACTAGCTGTCCACAGTTTTTTGTGTCATATCTTACTTAGTTTATTGGCAGCTGCACAAACAGGTAATGCCAACATAGATGCTTTTGCTTCCTTTCCTCCAAAACCTCCACCAATGCGTTTTACTTTGCAAAATATTTTATTTTGTTGCACTCCCAATATCTCCGCTATCAATTTCTATAAAAAAATATTTATAAATATTACACCAAAAAATAAATCAAAAGATTTTTCTTACACCAACTTCTGTTGGATTTTGAGTTGAAGAGTACACTTCCATTTCACCATCTTCCGGTTTAGGAACAGCCAAACATGCCTGTGTCTCGAGATAAAATTGTTCTTGGCCACCAATTCGGCATTCACCTTCGATAACATTTGGAGCTTCCTTGAGCACTTTATCAACATCCCCTTTTTCAATAATTCTGAATTTTGTGGGACAGAATGGGTGTTCAAAATAGGATTCGTGCTTAATTGCATCTTCAATGGTTATTATAACTGGTTGAAGATCTTCGTACTCAACTTTTACCTTAAAAATATTGTACTGAATTATTTGTGTTCTATTATATTTTTTATTATTACTTTTTTTGCTGCCCTTTGTGCGATTGTTTGATTATCAGCAATTATCCCAGCTATGATTTGTCCCTGACTGGTAACCACATCAGAATAAAATACTTTTTCGTCGTGGACAAGTGTTCCCCAAGCATTGTGTTTAATATCCTTTGCTGATATAAAATCATGAACACCTATTGAATGAACATATTATATATTAAAACACAAATTTATCTTTTAAATATTACCTTCCATAGATAAGGCCTCGCTCGGATCAATTGATAGAATTTTAGCATGGGGTTTAGTGCTCAATACAAAAGCCATATACAATTCATTCTCAAAAAAGGGAATATCATCACAATACAAAGCCTCTCCACAGGCTTGCTTGTAAGCCGACAAATGTACTATCGGTCTTTGAAGAGCATCATGCTTTTCTTGACTATCAGGCACCACTTTAAAGTATTGAGAACTTTTTAGATCTCCTCCATGGAAACCGTGAATACCACTCAGCTCTCTTTGAGGTACTTTTACTTTTGGTATCTCTTGTGCCAGCTGATTTGAAATAGCCAAAAAAGACCTGTGGAATAAAGATAGCGATAAAGATTTTCTGTAGTTAATCATGCCACCGGGTGCCCCTGGATCTAAAGGCAAATCCTCAAGAAGACAATCGAAAGCTGTTTCCAAGGTATTTTCGTTCCAGGGAAGGCCTTTAAGATTTTCCTGTGTTTTTGGTGCTGTCTTGACCACTGCCGCCATACCGCCAAAACCAAAAGATATATCTTCAATGATATCTGATTTGGGTTTAAAAGTTACCATAACAGCTTGATTTACTATAGCAATATCATCTTCTCTGCGCCTAGCTTGTTTATAAGCCTGAAAGTATTGATTATTTGTTGTATAAGGTACGAAAATTGCAGTTAATAATTCGTCTGGTTGCAGTATTGATGTTCTGTAGCCCACCCAGAACTTTTCATCCATGGTAACTGTTCGTATACCTCTTGCTTTACTACATACTTCCAGTTGAACTTTAGCTGCCATCATTAAGGGTATCATATCGGATATTGGACTACCGTTCATTATATTACTACCGATAGCACCAACGCTTCTTATTTGTTTACCGGCGAACCAATTTAGCATATCTACAATGGCTACAAATATTCTTGTTTTGTATTCGGGTTCCTTCTTGATAATTTCTCTAAGGCAATTTTCAAAGTCTATTAAGGTCGTAGACGCTCCCACCCTTACACCGATTGGAATTTCCTCTGTTCTTGTCATTTCAGGAATTTGGATTGGTTGAATTATATGTGGGTAAATTAAATTTCTAAACTTGGTTTCAACACCAATCTCAGTATTACCAACTACTATTTTAGCTTTTGGGTACTTGGCTTTAAGTTCAATAAGTTCTTGCAGGGTTGTAGGCCTGTACCAGGTTACATTTGGACCGTTAACGATAACATATTGTTTATCATACTTATTGGATACTTTCAGTTCCGGTGGGAAAATAGGTTCTTGCGAAGCATCATAGGGAGTAAACTCGCTGGTTTTAAAAAGAGCTTTCTCATCTTCTTTTGATTCGCCATTCTGAAGCTTACAGCATTTTTCTCCCATCCCACAAACATTAACCGTACCAGTATCATTAGACAACTTTTCTCCATTTGTTATCTCCTTTCCATTAAGTACTCCATTACCTTTCATGTTATGACTTTGTTGATGTAACTCCCATTCTTCGGTAAATGTTTTGTAGCCTTCGATGATGGGTCTGTATCCCGTACATCTGCAGAGGTTGCCTTGGAAAGCCACTTCCATATCTTTCATAGTAGGTTTAGGTAGGTTTCTTAGGAGAGTGTACATTGACATGACTATACCTGGCGTGCAAAAACCGCATTGCGAACCGTGGGCCTTAGCAATTCGTTCTTGTACAGGGTGAAGTTTTGTTTTTGTCGATCCGATACCTTCTATGGTTGTAACTGCCAGGCCATGCATGGACATGACTGGAGCAAGACAGGCGTTGACTGGCAAATGACTAAAGTAAAGTTAAGGAATTTGTAGCTTGTTGTTTTAATAACTTTAAACATTGGTTATTTAACTGAAAAGGATACACTTCTTGCCGTTTCGCCCTGTCGTATTTGGAGACCATCACAGTGCAGGCTCCACATCCTCCTTCTCCACAACCCAATTTTGTTCCACATAGTCTTACTAAGAGTTATGTTAAGAAATATTTAAAAATTGAAAAAAAGCAATAAGCTGCGTCGGGCGCGCATTTTTCTGTTTCCTGTGAGTATTTGGTCCATAAATTTTTCGACCAAATTTCGAAGAAAGTTGCTTTTTTATTCGATCCTTATTAAAAACGTACCGGATCTCTCTAAAACTTTTCGAGTTGCGATTTGCGAAAGGAAACTGGACAAATAAAACAGGAAGGGAAAGGTGAAAGAATGCACTTTTATATAAAAAGATAATCTTCCTCAAATTAAAACAAACGCATAAAATTCTGTTCAATTTTTTTTTATATTGCAAACAAATTTATCAATTAAAACCAAATCAAATACCCCCTGATCCAACATAATATTAAGTAATAATGCAACGTTGCCAAATTCGACCAAATGTTGCCAGATTTTATAAAAATTTCGTAAAAAAAAATATAATCAATAAAAACCATTTATCAGGTTTAATATCCAGAAAATCATTGACAGATGTCAATTGAACAGTTGAAAGATGACAGGTTTTAAATATTTAGACCAACAATATCATCGAAACATGATCAAGATAGTCTATCATATTTTATTTTAAAACCTATCATTGTTTTTATAGTATAATCAACTAAATCAATAGACTTAAAAAATAAAGGATACATTTGTTTCTAAGATAATATAAAAGCGTCCATTCTGGATCAATATGCTCATCTTCTATCTACAAATAATAATAAGAAGAAATTAAAATAGGTAGGTAAATAATGTAATAATTTATAACTAATAAGGGCTTTTTATTTATTTTTCATTTTCAACAAATAAGTAGATAATAAATAAAAAAATATTTAACGTTGCACAATTAAAATCTGCATTACTTAAGTTAGTAAACAACCTTTAGATAATAGAATTGCTAAGTACATAAAATGGTTACAAAATTAATTTGCATATTCTTTGAAAATAATTTTAATTAATTAATATATTTTTAAATACACTTGACACCTAACTTTTTAAATAAATAATAGTTTTAAACATTTTAGTAGTTTTTCATATCACTGAACCTATTTTACCTTTTTTCCATTGACAAAGAACACTAACTTATCAGTAACTTCACCTGGATTTATATCACACATTCTAAACTATACAATATCACAACTAAAAGTAAACTGCAGTTTCATGATTTTTAAATTGAGAAAGATTATCTTGTTGTTTTAATCAACTTATAAAAAGCTATCTAAGCAATTTCATAACTTTACAGCCAAAAAATTATTAGATATAGATAACATATTAAATACCATCAACCACAATAGGTATATATATCTATGTACATACGTATAGGTATATATATCTATGTACATACGTACTCAGTCCGGATCAAGGGGGGTCGAGGGGGCTCTTGCCCCTGGCGACAGGGGGCGGCAAAACGAACCTCTAAATGTCGCTATAATATATTTCGAATTTCGCACTTCAAAAATTCAAATATAGTTATACATTCAGAGGACCCTTTTGCCGTTATTTGGTGTTATTGAAATTCCCAAAAATAACATTTTTTTTAAATGAGACACCCTGTATATTTTTACCTATTTTAGAGACACTTTAATTTAAAACAAAAAATTATTGTTATTGCAAAACTACCCTATACTTAAAAATAAACAATTGTTTAATTGCAATTAATAAGCAAATAACTAAATTATTACTTTATTTTAAAAACATGTTGATTGCAATCAGTTAAGTTTAAGTGCCTATTTATCGTTTATTTTTAAGTTTAGATTAGTTATATAGGTAATTAAAATTTTTTGTTCAAAATTAAATTGTCTTTAAAAATATACAAAAATATATGTACATGGTATTCCATTTTAAAAATGTAATTTTTTTTTAATATTTCGGAAACTCGACGTTCAATTGTTTTTCTGTTTCCACCATTTTAATCAGAAGAAAAATGACCACCATTGCTTTCACCGACTTTGTAGATCCAATAAAGCAATCGCAAATAACTTTGGACACCCTGTATAGTATATACGATAAAATTTATTTAATACAGTTGGCTAAAATTTTTAGAAAATATAGTACATGTATTATATAAAGTACGCCCAGATCTGGGCGATCGATTAACAATTTTTTTAAAGGTACAAGTTGTCGCGCTTTTTTTCGTATATAATATTATATTTTATCGGTAAAATTTTACCAATGTAATACTACACCGCTAATTTAAAAGTGACTTTAAATATTTTTGACAGTTCTGACACTTCTATACAATTCAAAGCAATCTAGATTTATTACCATTTTTTTAATTTCAAAACGAGCATTAAAAAAAATATAACTCTTAAAGGGATGAAAATAACAGAACAAGACTAATTGGGTCGAAAAGATAAAGGTAGGAACTACATTTTTTGAAAATTTTTATTTTATTTTTTATTTTTTCTCTAGGTACCTAATTAATGATTTTAAAGGGCAAATTGAACTAATTTTGAAAACTTTCAAAGTTTAAGATTATTTTTCTCTAATTATATAAAAGTCCAAGAACTTCAAACAACGTTTACATATTCTATTATATAAGAACTTAATTTCTAAAAAAAATCAGCTCTTCAAAATTAGGAGGGCTGCGCCATGGCGCAGGGGTAATCTGAAAATCACAAAAATTTGCAAAATAACGAGTTTTAATTGGTCCGTTGAAACGTATAAAGCATGTTTTGAAATTGAATACCTAATGATAACACATTTAAATTTACTAGTAAGTAATTTCAAATTATAATCATCAAAACTTTTGTAATACAAAAAAAGTTGTAGCCCAACAAAAAAGGGTATGAAAATGACGCAATTTCAGATTTTTGATGTGTATATCCCGAAAGTAAAATAAAAATAAGGGCGGTTTTTCGTAGTTGATACCTAAAAGATCATCTTCAATTTTTTTATCAAAATCAAAAACCTTGCAGCACACACTTTTGATGTTTTTATTTGGAATGATACATAAACGAGTGTTTTTTTTTTCACCTAAATAGTAGTTTATAGCTGCAAAACTGAAAAAAGCACTCGTTTTTTGAAATCTGATTGGTCCATAAAGTTATGAGTGGAATAGTCAGAGTAAAATGTGAGGGACACAAAAAATTGTAGTAAAACAATTTATTTATTTTGCTTAAAAAATTAGAATTAGTAGCAGGGTTGGCACGTTTAAAACAATATCTTATCTTAAGTGGGTATTCAAATTAAAGAGATATTTATAGCAAATTCAATGGTGCCACAATAAATAAGTATATACTTGAATGATATATATCATTCCATTTGAAAAATATAAGTTATTGTCATTTAATTTTTTTTTAAACATGTCCATTTGGGACAGGGTTAGTATGTTTAAAACAAGGAATAAAACATATCAATGTTAAAACCACTGCTTTTGGTTTAAAATGTTTTAAACTAACAATAAAAAACATACCTAAAAACCATATTAAACAAAAAACATCTTATTTGCCAACTCTATTTAGTGGGAATATGGTACTTGGTACTATGCTCCAGACATCAAAGTCCCACCACTTAACTTTGATACAAAAAAAATAATTTTCTGTCAGTTTCAAGCTAATTTCGTCCTATTTTTTGTGTCTAAATGTCTTAATGTAAACAAAAAATACATATTAAGGGGGAAGAAGCAAAAGGGTACAAATGCATTTTAGCATGAAAATAAGTTAAGTGCAGAATTGGGTAAAATTGTACGAATTCTGCATGCTGATTAATGCAAACATTGAAACAAGTATCCAGATTTTTGTATATAGCAAAAACTTTAGTTAATAACCCCACCTCTCTTTTTTGCACTTTACTCCTTTTGCTTCTTACCCTTCATATATTGTATTATTTTTAGAAAATAAGACGAAATTAGCTTAACACTGACAGAAAATTAACCTTAATTATTTATTTCAATGTCATGTGGTACCACATGGGACTTTGATTTGTGGAGTATAGTACCACATGCCTACCAACACAGTGAAACTCTTTCATCTTTTTGAATATGAATGAAAAACGGCAACTTTCTTAAACTTTTACTTTGTAAAAGTTGCTATTTTTTTAAAGTAATAATTCATTAATTATATACAAAATATTTATTACGCTTGTCTTACCCATTGAAAATGTTGTGCAGGTGAGAATAAAAAACGCATTGATTTTTACGTATTTTATTTTAATACTTTATACAACTTTATACACAATTATACATTTAAAATATAGTGAAATATGAAATCATAACAAAAATATCAATATCAACGTAAAATAAAAAACATTTAAAATGCGAAGTCTTCGCAAAAAAACTAATTTTGTATGAAACGGAGACGATGATGTTTATCAAACTTTAGAGTGCTGCTTTCTGTTTGGCTTTCCTGATGATTCATGAGACTGATCCGAACCGGAACTTAATCCAGAACCTAAGTGGAAGATTTAAAGTTAAATCAAGTATTTAAAATTTTATGCAAGGCCACCTTTTGCATTTCTTCCTTAAAATTATACTGAAAATCATATGTGATCTCATACAGACTCCAGTATGAAATCAGGCGTGCTTTGAAACTTAGAATTAATTATACTGAAAATCATATGTGATATCATACAGACTCCAGTATGAAATCAGGCATGCTTTGAAACTTAGAATTATACTGAAAATCATATGTGATCTCATACTGACCTCAGTATGAAATCAGGCGTGCTTTGGAAATTAGAATCATATTGAAAATCATACGTGATCTCATACAGACCCCAGTATGAGAACAAACATGATTTTGAACTAATATTCGCGTCCGATCGAAACTCACGTGGGTATGCATACCCATAACCATGGTTGTTTATTTGTATTTGTCCCATTGTGTATAGTCCTTTGTTGTAGGGGACTTTAAGCCGGAAGTCCGTTCCTACCCCTTACCCGCACAATTGTGCGGGTAAGGGGTAGGAACGGACCGCTGGCCTAAAGTCCCCTCGACGATACACAATGGGACAAGCACAAATAAACAACTATACCCTATAGATTACATCTAAACGAGAACTATACATAAGCCATAGCTTATAAGCTTAAATAAAATTAGCTTGTAAGCTTGGAACTTATGGAATAGGTACCCTTAACTGAAAATCATGCCTGATCTCATACTCACCCCAGTATGAAATCAGGCATGATTTGGAACTTAAAATTTATATTGAAAATCATGCGTGATCTCATACCGACTTCAGTATTAAATCATACATGATTTTGAATGACTGAAAATCACATCTGACCTTATACTGACTTCAGTGTGAAATCACAGAGGGAAAACAAAATCACAGATGCTATCTGGGTAGCATTGTGTTTTTTTCGATTTTTTTTCACAGGAAAAATTAGATGCCCGAATGGTATTTGACAAGACTATTTCATGAGTAACAGTTAACAATTAAAATATAAATTGCAATTTTTGGTGACAACAGCTGTCAAGTTTTGCCGCGGGTAAACTCGAATAAACTGCTGACAGGTGCTGTCACACAGTTTTTTCACCTAGAAACCATTTGTAATTCAAAATTGCGCGTTTGTGATTGGTGGAAATTAAGACGAGGGAAATAGTCACCTAGAAACCATTTGTAATTCAAAATTGCGCGTTTGTGATTGACTGAAAAAGCACTCGTTTTTGAAATCTGATTGGTCCATATATATATAAAGTAAAGTAATTAGTGGAATTGTCAGAGTAAAATGTGAGGGACACGAAAAATTGTAGTAAAACAATTTATTTATTTTGCTTAAAAAATTAGAATTAGTAGCATGTTTAACATGCATGTTTAAAACAATATCTTATCTTAAGTGGGTATTCAAATTAAAGAGATATTTATAACAAATTCAATGGTGCCACAATAAATAAGTAGGTATATACTTGAATGATATGTATCATTCCATTTGAAAAATATAAGTTATTGTCATTTAATTTTTTTAAACATGTGCATTTGGGGCAGGGTTAGTATGTTTAAAACAAGGAATAAAACATATCAATGTTAAAACCACTGCTTTTGGTTTATCGTAAAATGTTTTAAACTAACAATAAAAAACATACCTAAAAACTATATTAAACAAAAAAAACTTATTTGCAAACCCTATTTAGTGGGAATATGGTACTTATAGGTACTCCAGCCATCAAAGTCCCACCACTTAACTTTGATACAAAAAATTAATTTTCTGTCAGTTTCAAGCTAATTTCGTCCTATTTTTTGTGTCTAAATGTCTTAATTTAGAACAAAAAATACATATTAAGGGGGAAGAAGCAAAAGGGTACAAATGCATTTTAGCATGAAAATAAGTTAAGTGTAGAATTGGGTAAGTAGTTCGGATTTTTTTTTTATTTTCACATAACGGGAAAATTGTATGAGTTCTGCATGTTGATTAATGCAAACATTGAAACAAGAATCCAGATTTTTGTATATAGCAAAAACTTTAGTTAATAACCCCACCTCTCTTTTTTGCACTTTACCCCTTTTGCTTCTTACCCTTCATATATTGTATTAAATTAACCTTAATTATTTATTTCAATGTCATGTGGTGGGACTTTGATTTGTGGAGTATAGTACCACATGCCTACTAACACATTGAAACTCTTTCATCTTTTTGAATATGAATGGAAAAAAACTGCAACTTTCTTCAAACCCTTGAGTTTGTAAAAAGTTGCTATTTTTTTAAAGTAATAATTAATTAATTAATATACACAATATTTATTACGCTTGTCTAACCCATTGAAAATGTTGTGCAAGTGAGAATAAAAAACGCATTGATTTTTACGTATTTTATTTTAATACTTTATACAACTTTATACACAATTATACATTTAAAATATAGTGAAATATGAAATCATAACAAAAATATCAATATCAACGTAAAATATAAAACATTTAAAATGCGAAGTCTTCGCAAAAAAACTAATTTTGTATGAAACGGAGACGACGATGTTTATCAAACTTTAGAGTGCTGTTTTCTGTTTGGCTTTCCTGATGATTCATGAGACTGATCCGAACCGGAACTTAATCCAGAACCTAAGTGGAAGATTTAAAGTAAAATCAAGTATTTAAAATTTTATGCAAGGCCACCTTTTGCATTTCTTCCGTTGGTCTTATGCGCATGTCTGTTGTATTCTCTCCTGCTGTTGTACGGACTATAGGCCCTCATGTTCGGCGGCGGCGGACTAGTACCATACTCGGAGTCGTACGGCGGCGACGGACTGTTCCTGTCGTACCCCGAGTACACGGTCGAGTCGGGCGTATACCTCGGCGGCGGCGACGACATTCGGCCCAACGGGGGCGGCCGTCTGTCGGGGAACAGGTTGGGGGGCGGTGGAGGCGGCATGAAAGCGTTATGCATGCCGGGCGGAGGCGGCATGAACGGAGCGCCAGGGGGCGGTGGCAAGAATGGAAGGCCGGGAATCGGCGGGGATTTGGTCATGTGGTCGCGGGAGTAATAAAGCATCGGCGGCGGGGAGGCAGGGTTTTGAAGTGGGGGCGGGGAAAGAGGGTGGTCGCCGTTCATTTCCATGGGAGACTGTAATCCTATCGAAACAACTTGATTTTTAATACTTTTTTGCCGTATAACGTTTGTTAAATGGATTATAGGATATATCCGCTTTTGTTTAATTTCGTTCGTGTTCCTCACCAGCATCGATAGACAGCTGTTTCGCTCTATTGGAGCTCATTAATACCGAATTGCTGTATGGTGCAGAACACAAACTAAATTATGCTTCCTTGTGCTTATATATTTCTTGGAATCATTCACTGCGGTGAGATGAAAGTAAGTGGAGCCACGATACACAAAAATCGGTATGCTGGTTATGAAACGGAAACTCCGCGCACATGACGTCACACGGTGCGAGAGAGATAGCTATAACATGCGCATTAGCATGCCGTTTTTTGTTATCGTGTTTCAGACTATACTTTTTCTACGTTTCCAAAAAATACTATAAAAAATAATTTAGTTAAATCGGTCTAAACCAGTGTTTATACCGTCATCCGATGATAGAATAATTCATTATGTAATACTTTCAGGAATATAACATATTATGTCATCCCACATTTAAAAGTGATATTAGAACGGTCGTATTCCGTAATAGTAGTAGAAAAAATGGATTATATAATTTTTGTTTATTTATTTTATTTATGAACTTACTGTTGTGTGTTTTATCTTCAGTCAGAGTTCGTTCTCTAAGTGTTAGTCTGTTTCGTAACTGAGCTGCCTCTTGTTTGGCATCCTCTAATTTTCGTTCTGTTTGTCTAGCAGTCACCCAATTCTCGTGAATTTTCTTTTCTAAAACTGAAATCTGAGATTTTAGTTCAACCTCTTGGTTAACGATTTCTTGTTTTAACGTTTCGTTCTGGGCCCTAAAACATAGAAATACAATACACCAAATGTTAAGATATATTTAAGAAATACTTACTTGTAATTTTGTAATTCTTCCTGTATGTATTTGATTCGTTCGGTCGTAGATGTGGCTTCTCCTTCTTTCGTTGCCCATATGCTCTCATATCTGCTTATTTCCCTTAAAACAAAACAAAATAACAACTTCCTTTTAAATTGACAAAAAAACTTACTTTTGCAATTGCGACTCCTTTTCCTTAAAGTAATTATTTAAAACGTCCAACTTGGTATTAATTTCCAACTTTTCTTTATCAGCTGCTTCATATTTGTTCCTTAGTCTGTCACATTCTTCTTTTACACTTTCAATTTGCTTCTTCAAATTGATTTGCGCTACTTCCTCGTGACTTAACTTAATTGCTAATTGTTCGTTCTCCGATTTGAATTGCTGTAACTCAGCTTTAGTAGTAGTAACATCCAAGATCGACTTAAGAGTTTCTTTGTCGTTTTTAAATCCTTTAATTTGGTCCAAGCTGCTCTTGAGCATATTATATTCCTTTGCTTTTAGCTCTGCGTTCCTTGTAGACTCGGTAAGCAACGATTTTTGCTGTTGGATCTCTACTTGTAGCGCTTCAATTTGGTTTAAGGCCTCTTTGTGTTTTTGCTGATACAAAGTAATTTCGCCCTCTAAAGAGCTCTGTTGCAAGTCACGCTCGTCCTCTATCTTTAATAGTTTCTCTGTTGTCTTATCAAGTTCAGTTTGCAAACCAAGAATTTTCTTATTGTTTATATCCAACTCCAGGTGTAACTCGACGTTTTCGGTTTCTTTTAGGCTCAGAGTCTCGTTTATGGTATTAATGGTGTCTTGTTGTTCCAGCAATTGTCTTTGAAGATGCTCCACGTTTGCCTTCAAAGTCTCGCTTCCATTTGTGGAGTTTAACATTTCCGATACGATTCTATTCAGTTCCATTCCTACTTCCGTTGACGTATCAAGTTCCTTTTCCAAAGCTTGAATCTGCTCCTCGAGCAAGGACTTGTCGTTTAATAACTCGGCTATTTGTCGGTTTAGTGCTTCAATTTCTCCGGTGTCCACAATCGGCACGGGGGTTCCGACAAGACACCCTTGCTCTTCGAGGATCTCCTTTTCCTTCATGGTGATAAGCAACTGTTTTTCCAACTTGTTGATCTTAGCGATCAACGGAGTCTCGCGCTTACTTTTATCCATCGCAATGTAACCAAACAGGAAAATTATCACGGACACGGCCGTCGTGGTGAGGTAAATAAGTACATCTCCATTGAAACTGAAGTATCTACTATCATTGGACTCGTTATCCACGTTTTTGGAAGGCAGCAATCCTTCGCTCAGCTCGGGCAAAAGCGGCACCTCCGAATCTTCTTCGCGACTCGGCGAGAAAAATTCGTACATTTTCGTGAAGAGGCCGTCTTCAGTTTTAAAATCGGCCTCGAGAATCTTGTCGACGAAGATGGGAGACGTGTCTTCTTCCCCCGGCTTGTTGGAATCGATTACGGCTTCGGTAATGATGTCCAAAATTGCATCTCTTTTGGTAACTTCCTCTACGGATTTAGAAGGTTCCTGGTTGTCTGGTTCCTTCGTAGAGGTTTCCACTGCTTCTGAGGACCCACCAAAAAAGCTTCCAAAAAGAGAACCAGTTGGGGCCTCGGTTGCAGCTTCCGTTAAAGAATCAGTTGCAGTTGCAGCTTCAGTTGAAGTTACAGTCTCAGAATGACTTTGTTGTTCTGTTTTAACTTCATTATTCCCGAAAAAGTTATATTGTGTAGTAGCTGGGTTTTCTTCAATTTTAACTTCCCTCAATGGTTTTTGTTCTTCTACATCTGATAGAACTTCGTCAATGGGTTCGGTATTGTAGTTTTTAGGTTCTGGTGTTACAAACTCATTAAAAGCATCTGGAGATCCTGTTACAAGAACTGGAGTGGGAACTTCTTGTTCTACTATATTTGATGGAATTTCGTCGGTGGTTTCGGTATTGTAGTTTTTAGGTTCTGGTGTTACAAACTCATTAACAGCACCTGGAGAATCGGTTGCAGGAAATGGAGCAGGAACTACAGGAGGTAGAGGTTCTTTTTCAACAACTTTTTCTTGTTTGGTTTCTTCTTCAACATGCGGTTGTTCACTTATTACTTCCTTACTATTTTCAACTAAAGGTCCTTGTAAAATTTCTTCTTTAGGCACTACATCTTCAATTAACTGAACATTTTTATCAGACTTTGAATCAGCTTCCTCTTTGATTTCTTTAATTTCTTCTGGTGGTTCAATCTTTACTTCTGGGGTCTCTAGATGAATTTCTGGAGCCTCAATTTTAATTTCTGGAGTATCAGTTTTAATTTCTTCAAATGCATCTATTACTTTATTTTCTTCAGTTGGTTCTTTTGGCACCTCAACATTAAGTTCTGGTGCTGCTACATTTGGAGGTTGAACTTCCACATTCGTATTATTTGTAGTATCGGTTTTTAAAATTGGTTCTTGCAAGTTTGCACTATAACTTGCAATATTTAAATTATTTTCAAACATATTTGTTAATGGTTCTGTAGGTTTGAAATGATCTAAAGTTTCGTTAGATACATTTGTGATGTTTAGCGTTTTTTCAATTTTACTTGGTTCTTCTGTTATTTTATTATCTGTGACAGTTTCTGGTTTTACATCTTCTTCTTCGTTGCTCTCATCGCCTTCTGTTTCGTCGTCGTCTTCATCGAATTCGTCATCATCGTCCTCTTCATCATCGAATTCTTCTTCAGATGTTTTTTCGCCTCCCATCATGTTATTTAACGTATCAAGTACGTTATCTACTACGGTTTTTTCTTCTGTGCTGGCTTCTTTTTTATCATTATCTTCGGCTTGAGGAGTTTCTTCTTTTTGTTTATCCTCTGGTATGGGGTTTTCTGATAACAATTTATTATTTATTTATAAAGTCATTATGTTAATTAATTTTTAATTTACTTTAGTCTTTAAATAAATCTTATTGAACATTATTTAGTAGATTGAATTTATAAACAAATATAAGTTTTTACACTAAGGGTTATCATAATATTACCAAATTTGTTAAATTATTTTGGGCTGAACTCAAAGTTTGAATGTACATTGTACATTTTATCTTCAAGACAATGTTCAAGGAGTACTAAAAAATATAAAAAAATTGGAGGAATCAAAAAAAAAATTTTTGCCACCATCCGATTTGGCGTGGACAGCTCCATATATACAAAATAATTTCATTTGTTAAACAATACAATTATAATAATTATTGAAAGTAAAAAGTTAGTTTAGATTAGATCTAACAGTTTAACGCTAATGTTGTCTTATTTTCTGAAAATAATTTTCTCTATGGTTTACATTTTAATTTATTTCAAAAATTTAATTTAAAAAAAACTGGACAAAATAATTTAATGCTTATCCCAAAAACAATGTAATAAACAACAAAATTTATATTTTTAATAGAATATTTTAAAATTTAATGAGGAGCAATTAAACAAAATGCAATAAAGCAGTAAATCGCGAATATAGGTTATGGGTAGAGATGCGACTTGAAAAAAACGGTCCGTTTTTTTTGTTTTTTTTCATTGTTTTTTTTCAAATGGTTTTTTTTCATATTTTAGGTTTTTTTCAAGATTAGTCCCATTTGTCTAATTTTTTATGTTTCCATGGACTAAAATTAGCCACTAAATGAAAATTAGTAAATAAGGGCCGCGCTTGTTTTGATTTGGTCCTAAAAAAAGTAACTACATATAATATTTTTGATTCAGCGCTTGATTTTTCAAAAAGCTACCAAAAGCACTTTTTTCATGATATTTCAAATTTATGTAGAGTATGGACATTTTTTTTCCAAAAACAATAGCAAATTCTTGTAGAACATTTAATCATTGGTGGTTAAGACAGAACATTCCGTGGAACAAAAAAGAAAGCAAAAAAAATCGATTTTTTATTACGGTATTCGTTGCACGTTTTTTATCTAAAAATCTCAAAACTATAAACTTCAAGCTTCAAATTGCTTTTCTTACGGCTCCAATACGACCATTTTTAACAAAGATACAGCTATCCAAAAAATCGCAAAAAAAAATTTATCCTTTAATTTTTTAGTCTTGGTCAAAATTTTCAATAATGAAAAATGTAATATATTGTACATTTTACTCAAAATTTCATTTAAAAAAAAAAACAAAAAAAAACGTTATTATTCTAGGTTTTTTTCATGTTTTTTTTTCACATCTGAAAAAAAAACCGTTTTTTTACATCTCTAGTTATGGGTAATCTTTTGTAGGTCAGAGAACATAAATTAAATTTAAATTTATTTTGTGTTACAAATTATGACTTATAGGTAAGTAAAAAATTTTGGATTAAGTAATTAGGCTTTGAAAAATGGATTTAGGTATTGCATTTTGTTTGATCACTTCAAATATACACCTGAATTTTCCCCACACCCTGTATACAGTTTATTTAACTTATTTAATAAAACGAATTTACTTATAAAACGTGAATTTGTTTACTAATAAGATGACAAGGCAAAAGTAATAATTAGTTTATTTTTACATCAAAAACTATACATAGATTGAGTAAATATTGGATTTATTTTTAGCTGCCCATTTAATGCACTAAATACAAAGTTCATATTTTAAATATACAATTTAAATTTCACATAATCACAAAGAATATTTTCTTTTTATTAATGACATGCAGCATAGAACCAATTAAAATATTAATTTGTATACAATTTATCAATACCTATTGTAAAAAAAATAACTAGCTTACCATTGACTTTCTCTTCTGTTTGTACATTATTGATAGAACTATTAGGTGCCACTGTTGAATGTAATAATTCTTCTGTAGAACTTGGGTTTATATCAGCTGGATTTAAATATATTGTAGTGCCATCGACCACTTCAAATTCCTCTTTAACACTTTTTGGCTCAATTTTAGGCACATCTTTTACAACTAATTCAGTATCTACCAGATGGGTTGGCTTTTTCAGAACTCTATATTCCCTGACATGCATTTTTGGAACATAACCCCTTTTTCCTCTGATTTCAGCCCCCCATAAGCTTGCATCCGAACCAGCTGATTTGCTATAGATTTTAACTTCCTCATTGGACAAAAAGGATAAGATCCTAGCATCTGGACTAGAATAACTTAACAGAGTTTTTGCATATGAAATGGGAACTGCAATAAAAGAAATCAAAATATAAATATGTCAAGTTAAATATAGGTTATTATGTACAAAATCGTGGTTTTTACGCACCTGAACATTTCTCATCGTAGCACAACCTTTTGTCGGATATTTGCCCATTTGCATTATTTAGAACTAGGTAAAATAAAACAAAATAAATCGACTTAAAACTAAACATTCTGTCATAGTTTGACAACTCGGTTTTCGCAAAGCCACATCACTGTTTTGCGATTGTGTCTCCATCTACCTGTACATATTTCATTTAAATTGTATATAAATTCAAGATACATACACCATATAAATTTGAACATATTAATCAATGAAAAATATATAAGTATGAAGAGTTTTACGCAGTTCCATTTAACTATTGTCTTTAATTTTTTTCAATTAGAATTGTGATTTATTAATTATTTATGTGCTACATAAAACAAAAATCATCGGTATTTGTAAAAAACAATAAGCAAAGTGGCAGCTTTCTACTTACCTAACGCTTTTTTATAATTTTAATTATAAAATCGGTTGAAAAGAAAATATTTAGTATTTTTTAACATAAATATGATTAAAGTGGATTTAAATGTTCAGCGAAAGAAATTTATTACATTGCGCTAGAACCATGCATTAAAACTGCAGATCTACGCCAAAAATTTTGGGTGGTTAGATGGTTGCCTATCAAACGTATTATAAAATCACTTCTACAATTTATAAAATAGTTTATATAAGCTTTAAAATTATAACACCTTAGGTTATATAAAATTAACATATGTTATTAATATTATTAAAATAAGAGGGCTTAGGTTTGATATGTTCTTTCCTACATGATTGTTTTTTATATAAAATAAATTTAAATACATTTTTATTACAAAAACAACTTAATTGACCAAAGCAACGTAGGTAAATTCAACAATTTTGTTAAACAAATATTTGTTTAATATAAATAAAGTTAACATGCAGTTCTTTAGGAAGTTATATAGTGGTTACCTAGGTAACAATCACATTTATAAACTCCCCAAATAAGTTCTTTAAGGGGTATATAAGAGTGATATAAAAATTTCCGTAACCAAATTAAGATGTTAAAGTTTTATAATTTTGGTGATTTCGTTTTAATTGAAAAACTACATTGCATTCGTGGAGGCCCCGGGGCCATGGCCGGCTTATCGTCATAAAAAGTGATAAGCGCCGCTTTATTAACGCAATTTTATATTCAGTATTGCTGTGTTTGGTAGCATGTGCAGAGCCGAACAAGTCAACCTTGATACTTATGTTGCTTCTTATTTCTCAGTGCGTCTCATAATTTAAAGTAAAAATGTATTTTATTGGAGTCGATGTGGGGACCGGAAGTGCGCGAGCGGCGCTGGTCACGGATTATGGAAAAATTGTTAATTCGGCTGTACAAGACATTAAAACATGGAACAACAAAAGCATTTTCTACGAACAATCAACGGAGAATATTTGGAATGCTTGTATTAACTGCATAAAGGTAGCAATGTTACTGTTGATATATTTGACCTTGTACAATCTTATAAGAAAAATTTGTTGATATAGTTTATTTACAAATATCACACGGCAGGAATTTTGCTATATTTTTTTAATCATATACCTATTTTAATTAAATATCATTGGTAATTTAGCTATGGGTCCTAATTAAATTTAAAAAAATAAATCATAAACTTTCATAAAGTTTTCCGTTTGAAAATCATGTTTTAAACAAAATAAAATCGTTTTAAGCCAAAATTGGACAAATGGCGTTTAAGTGTTTAATTGACAATGATAAATAATAAATTATTGGGTTTATTTGATCACCCTTATCACAAACTTTAATACAGGGTGTATTAATAAACCAGACTTATGTCTAGGTGTATAATTGAAATATTCAATGCCTGTATCTTTAGTTTAATTTTATTAATTTCAATTTAACAGAGAATCATTTCTGGAATAGACCCTTCCCTAATCAAAGGTATAGGTTTTGACGCAACATGTTCATTGGCTGTTTTTGATGAAAATGGCAAACCTTTAAGCGTTAGCCCCACGGGTAAATATTGCCAGTAAAAATTAATTACTACAATATAAATAAAAAAATAAATGTTAAAGGACGCAATGAACAAAACGTTATACTATGGCTTGATCATAGAGCAGTGGAGGAGGCCGAATCAATAAACAAAAAAAATCATCCGGTTTTACAATATGTTGGCGGTAAAATTTCCCCAGAAATGGAAACACCGAAACTTATGTGGTTGAAAAAGAATTTAAACAAAGAATGCTGGAGTAAAGCTGGATATTTCTTTGATCTACCAGATTTCCTCACGTGGAGAGCTACAGGATGCGACTCAAGGTAAAAAGTTTTCAGAATCTCAACAGTTTTATTACGTATATAAGTTTCGAAAATTTGTATCCATTTGGTTTACTTCATTATTTAATTTTTAGATCTTCCTGTTCCTTGGTCTGCAAGTGGACCTACGAAATGTCCAAAACTGGAACAGAAAGCTGGAACAAAAGTTACTTTGAACAAATAGGCCTTGAAGATCTGTCCGAAAATAACTGGAAAAAAATTGGATCGACAATTTTACCTCCTGGATCTCCAGTGGGTCAAGGACTATCGGAGCAATCCGCCAAAGAGCTGGGTCTTCTAAAAGGCACTCCAGTGGGAGTTTCCATGATAGATGCACACGCTGGAGGATTGGGATTAGTGGGCTGCCAGGTAGATGGAGTAGATGCTGAATTTCATACAAGATTAAGTAATTGTTCTTTACCTTGAATTGCCACATATTTGAGATCCCTTAAAATTTGTCATCTGTGCTACACAGCAAACGAAAAAATATTAACTGTATAGGATGACGCGTTTAAATACTAAATCTTAAAGTTTTATCAGAATTGTATTGAATCGTGCTTTGTTTTTATATTTTTCGGCTCTATACCTATGCACAACTATATTTAAAGTCAAACTCAATTACAAAATACATTATTTTTATTTTCTATATTCAACAGAGAGGTAGAAACTCGACCCTGTCGAATGGTGCAGTCATTTATGTCTCTAGAAATTATTAAAAAAGGGTTCAGTCCAATGGTGCAGCAACTTCGGATTCCTATTCTCTTCATAGACATAGAAACTCAAGCTTTTCGAATTTTACTGGCAATGATTTTCGTTAATGTCCCCGAGAATTATACAAAAAATGAAAAAATTATCGATATGCTATTAAACTTTAATAATTTAGTAATGAGGTCTGTTGGTAGATCCTGCACATCTCCACTGGAAGTTTTATGTTAGTTCAGTTCAAAAAAATCATGTCGTATATAGTTTTTTTTGAAGCATAAAATAGTTTTCATTTTAATACTAGTTCAAAAGTGAAATTACGACCTCTATACTGTGGAGAGTATTGAAACGCTCGACTGACGAATACAAATCTATACCGTAGGGAGATTTAGAAAACTATATTCAAATGTGGCGTCATCCTATACACTTCTATAATTTTCCGTTTGCTGTGTAGTACTATAGCAGAACTTTCACTTTTTTCTTTATCAAATGAAAATCATTTATAACCTGAAACTTCCCTATTAAAAATGCCATATAGAAACACAAAATACAAATCTATATGGTTCTTTCTGGTTCAATATAGGAATTTGAAACAGGCATCGCACTATTGAACCAGATAGAATTCCATACATGGAAAACCATATAGAAAAGTGATTTCTATATGGATTTCTATATGGATTGCCAATATGGTTTAATCTGAACCTATATAGGTTCAGATTGAACCATATTGGAGCTCTATCTGGCCCAATATGGTTTGGGTATGAAAAAATTATTACCATATAGATCCATATTTAACCATATAGGGGAACCTATATGGTTTAATATGTAATTTTTGTTTAAATATATATATATATATATATATATATATATATATATATATATATACATGCACGGCTATCAATACGAAGCCCGGTGCATTACACTGGCTAGTCGAAGCCCGGTAATGCGGGACGGGGCGGTTAACTGTTCGTTGGTGCATAAACAACAAGAGACACACTTCGCTGTGTATCATAAGCCCTGCGGTGTTGCCAATGTCAAAATTTATAATTATAGGCAAATTTGATTTAAAATACCTAGACTATACCTAAACTTAACCTATATTTTTAAATAAGGACGTAGGTATACTTAAATATTTAATAATATTGTTGAATTATAATTTTTATAATAAAAATTATTATAATAATAATTATTATTAAATTAATTATAAGTCATTATTTAAAAATATTGTCTAAATTTATAATTATAGGCAAATTTGATTTAAAATACCTAGACGATACTTAAACTTAACAATATTCTTAAATAATGACGTAGGTATACTTAAATATTTAATAATATTGTTGAATTATAATTATTATAATAATAATTATCGTTAAATTATAATTATTTATATTATAATAATTTAAAAGTATTGTTGAATTTAGGTACCTATAGGTATAAACATTTCATTTATTTTGTTTATACATCATAATTTTGAAAAGGTTTAAATATCTTATACAGGGTGCTCTACAAGCTCTATGGCAAACTTTGTCAGATGATAGCTGGGTTAATTATAAACATTTTTTCTTAAATGACATGGATGCGATTCGTGTTTGTTTAAAAGTTAAGCCTTTAAAAATATATTTTCATATGTTAATAAAAAATATACAAATATATCAATAATTATAATTATTATAAGAATTATTGTTGAGGTTAGGTAATTTTGTGTAAAACTTAAATGGGAATCAAAACAAGTGAAACTGACTGAATATTTTTTTCATGAATTATAAAGACATCTAGTTTTTTTTAATTATTAGATTTAAATACACCAAAAATTCTAAAAAATCTAAATAATGACGTATACTTTAATACACTGCCCGACAAAATTATCGCATAATAAATATAAAAAAATTAACTCTAAAACGCCTTTACCAATCTTTATGAAATTTTTGATAAAAATACTTCAACTTATATCTCAATTTACGTGTTAGAGGGTTTTTCGAGAAAATAGGTTTAAAGCCTTTTTATTTAATAATGAAAAAATGTTCGAAATATAACTTTTAGGGAATTTTTTTAAATAAATAAAAAATATGCTGTTAAAGAGCGTATTTTTTAGTATACCCTGAAAATTTTGTACAAATCAAACGAACATTAACGAAGATACAGCGCTTCAAAGTCGGTAAAAATGACGCCTTTTTGATTATTTTGCTGAAAAGTGGTAATTTTTCACGACTTTGAAGCGCTGTATCTTCGTTACTGTTCGCTTGATTTGTACAAAATTTTCAGGGTATACTAAAAAAATACGCTCTTTAAGAGCATATTTTTTATTTATTTAAAAAAATTCCCTAGAAGTGATTTTTCGAACTTATTTTCATTATTAAATAAAAAGGCTTTAAACATATTTTCTCGAAAAACCCTTGAACACGTAAATTGAGATATAAGTTGAAGTATTTTTATCCAAAATTTCATAAAGATTAGTAAAGGCGTTTTAGAGTTAATTTTTTTTATTTATTATGCATTAATTTTGTAGGGCAGTGTAATTAAAAATAGTGTGATTTATAATTATTTTAATAAAAACTATTATATTATTGAATGAATTATAAGTCATTATTTAAAAATATTGTCTTAATTTATAATTATAGGCAAATTTGATTTAAAAGACCTAGACCATAGTTGAGGACCATCCGTGGAAAACCGGCTATATCCATTTTAATAAATGTTGGGAAAATTTAGAAAAACTAAACCAAATTAAAAGTTGAAAAATAAAAAAAATAAGTGGGGAAAATTGCTATTTAGTTTAGCATCCTATAAACAAGAAAAATGTATTACAAACCAAATATTGTTTTATAGCTACATTATAAAGTTAAAGCTGCCTTTTATCCAATAAAAATCGTAGATAAAATATTACTTTAACCAAAACGGTTGATAAAATAATATTGTAATGGTAAGTATAAATGGACAATCCTTATCTAAAAGGAACCAAGCGCCAAAAACTATTTTTGGACTTAACAACATTTTTTGTAAAATAACTCATTTTTAATAATGCTCAAAAAGTTTCTCATTATTTAGAACTTCTTTTAAATTATTGAGAGGACTCTCAAATTATAATTAAGTTTTTGAGCAGCATTAAAAATGAGTTAGGTATATACAAATAAGTTTGTTAAGCTCCGAACAAGTTTTTGGTTCCTTTTAGATAAGCACTATCCAAATAAAGAACCCAATTTCTTATTTTTGTTTGGTCGTTTGGTCGTTGTTTGCCATGTATAAATAAATTGACCATTTGTGAATGTTAATTGACAAATTGCCATGAGAAGCTATCTGTCAAAAAGCAGTTTTTGCAATTCAATGTTACATTAAAATGATATTTAATAAAAATAATTTTTAATTTATTTCATACCGCTATTGGAAAGTTTTTAAATAAATTAAAAATTATTTTTATTTAAATTATTTAAATGTAACATTGAATAATAATAATAATAATAATATATACAAATCCCCTTGTTTCCCCAATTAAAACTATGTAAAATATCTGGACAACTTGTAAAACCGCCCCAAAGAAAAATGCACTCCAAATAATATTTCAAAAATAAATATTTCTTTAAAATTAAGTGTATTACGAAAGTATTTAACAAAACATTGCCTTTTAATCCACGCCATGTAGTGAACAAAACATAATTTTGGGAATATAACATTTGTTTTGAAAATCAGTAGATACAAATTTAAGAATCCCGCATTATTTTCCCCGCCTTCCTATCAAAAAGTCATCGAGCGTATAGTCCCCATTGTTGCCAGATGTACGGGCTTCGTATACTGCGTAATACTTATACAAAGCTGTATATAATCTCGTTTGACTCGTGTGCCCCCTACCGCCAAAGCATTGGAACTAAGGGTGTATATTTTGATAGGTTTGAATGGCATTAGGAAGCCCACCACTTTTTCGCCATTGAAACAAGGGGGCATCACTTAACTCAAAAACAAATTTATACACCCTAATTTTAGGAAGCCCGATTTCGGGCTTCGTAAAAACCGAGTGGGCTTCGTTTATACTGTAGAATGTAACGTTTCGGGCTTGGTAATGTAGGATTGCATATCTATATATATATACATTTTAAAATGGAATTCCATATTCGACCATATAGGGAAACCTATATGGAAAGACACATAAAACAGAAACCAGATAAATCCATATAAAAATATAATTATATAATTATATTTAAGTTGTACATTTTAAAATGAAATTCCATATTAAACCATATAGATTCCAAAGTGTAAACCAGGTCGTTCCATATAGGACATATAGAACCATATAAATCCATATTAGTTTCCTTATCTGGATCAATATATACCCATATGGGTTCTATAGGGCATTTTTAATAGGGTTTATATTTATAATATCACCAAAGTTCTTTTAAGGACGTATGCTTTCCAGATATTTTAAAAGTTACAAAAAAATTCCAAATTAAATATTGAACCTGTATAAAATCCATTTTGAAATAAAATTTTAGGTTTAATTTGTGGTACTTCCACATGTCACATGGCCGTATCAAAAGAATGCACCTTTACACCAGGTATTTGGGGCCCATATAAAAATGCCATGGTACCCGGAATGTGGCTAAATGAAGGTGGACAGAGTGCTACTGGAAAACTTCTGGATCACATTATAGACACACATCCGGCCACTGTGGAAATTAAAAAGAAGTTGGGAAATATGTAACTAAATGATTTGTAAAGGTTTTGTAATTGATTTAAAAAGTAAATTTTAGGCATATTCAGCAATATTTAAGTCTACTTCTGAAAGAGATTGCCAAAAAGAAAAACAAAAACTCTGTTGCGTTGTTAACTGAAGATTTGCACGTGTATCCAGATTTTCATGGAAACAGATCTCCTTATGCAGATCCATCTTTAAAAGGAGCTGTAAGAATACTAAGTTATTAAAAGATACTTAAAAAATTGATGAAAACTGTTTTATATTAAAAATAACAATTTATTTTAACTTAGGTTATAGGCTTAACGTTATCAGACGACGAAGAAAGTTTGGCTTTATTATATTTGGCGACTGTTCAGGCTCTATCGGTAAAAAGTTCAAAATACAACAAACCAACTTTATTTTATTCAGCTATTTCAGTATGGAACAAGACTAATCCTGGAGACCTTAGTTAAGTCAGGTTACAAAGAAATAAAGTCAACCTTAATATGTGGCGGTTTAAGCAAGAACTCACTTTTTACACAAGCCCAAGCCGATGTTTGTAATCTGCCCGTAGTTTGCCCCGATGAAGTGGAATCGGTTTTATTGGGAGCCGCTATTTTAGGTGCTTGTGCTGCAAATCACTTTGATTCCGTGACTAAAGCAATTCAGTCAATGGGAGGTAAGGGAAAGGTGGTGTTTCCCGATAAAAATGTTGTTGAATATCACAATAAAAAGTATAAAGTGTATCTTAAGATGTACGAAGATCAGTTGGTGTATAGGAATATGATGAAATAAACTTTGTTTTTTAGTTTCATTTAATACCAACCTTTTTTTTACTCCATTAACAAATAACCATCAACATTTTCTAAAAATGTAGAAATAATTACACTTAAACTGAATGAATATATTTACTGTTAAGATTGTTTTAAATTGATGTTTTTAAATTTTATTATACTGTCATAAAATACGCCAAGTAGAGCAGTTTTTAAATTTATCTCACTGTGCGAATTTGTCCCAATAATTTATCTCACTGTGCGAATTTGTTCTCACATTTTTTAAGTTTGTCGCACTGTGCGAATCTTTCTTTTATTGTTTAAATTTATCCCACTGTGCTAATTTTTCCTACCATTTTTTAAATTTAAGCCAATGTGCGAATTTGTCCTCTCATTTTTTAAATTTGTCCTCTGTTTCCACTGTGCAAATTCGTCCATCCATTTTTTAAATTTGTCCCACTGTGCAAATTTGTCCTTTCATTTTTTAAATTTATCCCACTGTGCGAATTCGTCCTTCCAAAATTTAAAATTTATCCCACTGTGAGAGAGAGAGTCCTCCAATTTTTTAAATTTGTCGCACTGTGCGAATTAGTCCTTCCATTTTAAAAAATTTTCCCAGCATTTTTTAAATTTAACCCAATGTGCAAATTTCTCCTCTCATTTTTGTACCCCACTGCAAATTTGATCCCCCATTTTTTAAATTTGTCCCACTGTGCGAATTCGTCCTTTTATTTTTAAGTTTGTCCCACTTTGCACATTTTTCCTACCATTTTTTAATTTATTCATCTGCGAATTTTTCCCACCATTTTCCAAATTTATCCCACCGTGCGAATTCGTCCTTTCATTTTTAAAATTTATCTTACCGTGCGAATTTGTCATCTCATTTTTTAAAATTTGTCCCACTGTGCGAATTTGTCCAACCATTTTTTAAAATTTATCCCACTGTGCGAATTCGTCGTTCCATATTTAAAATTTATCCCACTGTGAGATTTTGTCCTTCCATTTTTTAAATTTGTCGCACTGTGCGAATTCGTCCTTTCATTAATACAATTTTTCCTACATTTATTAAATATAACCCAATGTGCGAATTTGTCCTCCCATTTTTTAAATTTGTACTTTCATTTTTTAAATTTATCCCACTGTGCAAATTTCTCCTCTCATTTTTTAAATGTAGACCACTGTGCAAATTTGCACCATTTTTTAAATTTGTCCCATTGTGCGAATTTGTCCTTTTATTTTTTAAGTTTGTCCTACTTTGCAAATTTTTCCTACCATTTTTTAATTAATCCATCTGTGCGAATTTTTTTCACCATTTTCCAAATTTATCTTACTGTGCGAATTTATCTTACTGTGCGAATTTGTCCTTTCATTTTTTAAATTTATCCCACTGGGCGAATTTGTCCCACCATTTTTTAAATTTGCCCCAATGTACGAATTTGTCCTCCCATTTTTTAAATTTATCCCTATGCGATTTTTTAAAATTTATTCCCCTGTGCTCATAAAATCCTTAAAAATAGATATTGGTAGTTAATTAAATTTCTGGAGTTTTAAACAAGATATTACCATACATAATTTAGAATAATTGAAATTTTTACCATTTTTTAAATTTATGTGCGATTTTGTCCTCCTATTTTTTTAATTTGTCCCACTGTGCGAATATGTTCCACCATTTTTTAAATTCGTCCCACAGTGCGAATTTATCCTTCCATTTTTAAATTTATCCCAATGTGCGAATTTGTCCCTCCGTTTTTTAAATTTGTCCCTCTGTGCGAATGTCTCACAGTGCGAACTTGTCCCCAAATTTTTAAATTTGTCTCACTGTGCGAATTTGTCCTCTCCTATTTTAAATTTGTCCCACTGTGCGTTTTATAGGTAGGCAACCCAGTTGGAACATATTCGTTCAGGATTGCCTACCTACAAAATTTTGATAGCAGCGCCATCTATTTCAGTGAAACTGAACTAAAAATGTAAAAATTAAAAACCTCAAAAAATCCAAACAAAAAATTTTGCAGTTTTAGTTCAGCCATACAGAGATAGATGGCGCTGCTAACAACATTTTGTAGGTAGGCAATACAGTAACAAATATGGTCTAACTTGGTTGCCTACCTACAAAGTACTTAATAGCAGCGCCATCTATTACAGTATGACTGAACTAAAAAAGTTTTGTTCCAAACCCAAATTGCTACCAACAATTTTGCAGTTTTAGTTCAGCCATTCTGGGATAGATGGCGCTGCTATTAAGTACTTTGTAGGTAGGCAACCCAGTTAGACCATATTGTTAGCAGCGCCATCTGTCTCTGTATAGTTGAATTAAAACTGCAAAATTTTTAATTTTTACATTTTTAGTTGCCATGCCATCAATATTTTGTAGGTAGGCAATCATGAACGAATATGTTCCAACTGGGTTGCCTACCTATAAAACGCACAGTGGGACAAATTTAAAATAGGAGAGGACAAATTCGCACAGTGAGACAAATTTAAACATTTGGGGGACAAGTTCGCACAGAGGGACAAATTTAAAAAACGGAGGGACAAATTCGCACATTGGGATAAATTTAAAAATGGAAGGATAAATTCGCACTGTGGGACGAATTTAAAAAATGGGTCGACAAAATCGCACAAAAATGGTACAAATTTCAATTATTTTAAATTAGGTACTCCAGAAATGTAATTAACTACAAATTTTTTTAAGGATTTTATGAGCACAGGGGAATAAATTTATTAAAATCGCACATTGGGATAAATTTAGAAAATGGGAGGACAAATTCGCACATTGGGGCTAATTTAAAAAATGGTTGGACAAATTTGCACAGTGGGATAAATTTTATAAATGGAAGAACAAATTCGCACAGATGGATAAATTAAAAAATGGTAGGAAAAATTTGCAAACTTAAAAAATTAGAGGAGAAATTCGCACAGTGGGATACATTTAAAAAATGAAAGTTTGTACTATTTATAAAATTGGAGGACAAATTCGCACATTGGGTTAAATTTAAAAAATGGTAGGAAAAATTTTATTAATGGAAGGACGAATTCGCACAGTGCGACAAATTAAAAAAATGGAAGGACAAATTCTAAATTTGGAAGGACGAATTCGCACAGTGGGATAAATTTAAAAAAAATAGTGGGACAAATTTAAAAAATGGAAGGACGAATTTGCACAGTAAGATAAATTTTAAAAATGAAAGGATGAAATCGCACGGTGGGATAAATTTGGAAAATGGTAGGAAAAATGTGCAAAGTGGGACAAACTTAAAAATAAAAGGACAAATTCGCACAGTGGGACAAGTTTAAAAAACAGTGAATCAAATTCGCAGTGGGGTACATTTAAAAAATGAGAGGAGAAATTCGCACAGTGGGATAAATTTAAAAAATGAAAGTACAAATTTAAAAAATGGGAGGACAAATTCGCACATTGGGTTAAATTTTAAAAATGGTAGGAAAAATTTTAAAAATGGAAGGACGAATTCGCACAGTGCGACAAATTTAAAAAATAGGAGGACAAATTCTCACAGTGGGATAAACTTTAAATTTGGAAGGACGAATTCGCACAGTGGGATAAATTTAAAAAATGAAAGGACAAATTCGCACGTTGGCTTAAATTTAAAAAATGGTAGGAAAAATTAGCACAGTGGGATAAATTTAAAAATTATTGGGACAAATATAAATTTAAAAAATGAAAGGACAAATTCGCACGTTGGCTTAAATTTAAAAAATGGTAGGAAAAATTAGCACAGTGGGATAAATTTAAACAATAAAAGAAAGATTCGCACAGTGCGACAAACTTAAAAAATGTGAGAACAAATTCGCACAGTGAGATAAATTTAAAAACTGCCCTATTTGGCGTATTTTATGACAGTATAATAAAATTTAAAACAATCTTAAATGTATTAAGGTGACTTTACAGTTATTGTAGCATTATTATGTTAAGTTAAAAGCCATAATCAAAGGAATTTTGTAAGGTTGTTGGTATACAAATACATGATAAATTATCATGCATATTTGATGTCTTTAAAAGCATGTTTTATTATATTTCCATAAAAATTTTATGTAGTTTAAATGTATTTTAAAATGGCTAGCAAATTAAGAAACCCGTTTGAACTAAAATAAAACTTTTAGAGTAACAGTAAATATATTTATTCAGTTTAAATATAATTATTTTTACATTTTTAGAAAAAGTTGATGGTTATTTGGGTCACATGTTTAGCACATTTTTTAAGCAAAAATTGTAGTAAAAGAAAAGTGATTAAATGAAACTAAAAAACTAATTTTATTTCATCATATTCCTAAACACCAACTGATCTTCGTACATCTTAAGATACACTTTATACTTTTTATTGTGATATTCAACATTTTTATCAGGAAACACCACCTTTCCCTTACCTCCCATTGACTGAATTGTTTTAGTTACGGAATCAAAGTGATTTGGGATAGGGAACGGAAAAAGATATCGATTTGAAATATTAAATGTGTTTAAAATTCATTTAAGTCTATTTTTCAAAATATTTTGAATAAAATGCAACTTTCGGTTTAACTGGAAGTGGCATCAACTTTGTTATTTCAAATGGAACAACAATTTCAAGTATAGCTCAGAGAGGAGAGAGAAGAATAACGTGGTAAAATATTTTTAAAACAATTTATTTATTAATCACAAATTCAGTCTAGTTAAAACTTGAAATTATTGATTTAATTTAATTTGGTCATAAAGGGTCTCATAAAACTTGGTAACCGAAATTTCCTGAAAAAATAAAAAATAAAAACAAAAAAACTAAATTTAAACTTTGAAAGACCTTTTTTCGTGCTTTTCTTTTAGAGTAATCTCACTGGATGCCTCAGTTGTTGTGGTTTTGCGCTTTTCTGTGGTCGTGGTAGTGACAGGATTTATTGTTGTGGTAGTACTGGGTTTATCAGGCTTAATTACAAATATTTCCGCTGGTTTTTCATGGTTGTTTCCCAACAGCTCACCTACATCAGGGTATTCACCTGAAAAACAAAAAAGTGCATTTTAATGTTATGAAAACAGGTTCAACCGTTAAGTTGACCTAAAATAAATTATGTTTACCTTCAAAAAGTGCTGGGTCCAGCATCATAGCAGCTTGGAGCAAACTTTGAGGGGGCGCATACACCAGCACCACCCCGTTAACGTTAATTTTGTAATTTTCAGTGCCGTTTTGTCTTTGATCGTACACCGTATCGAATTGCTCGAAATCGTACTTGGTTTTGTTTTTCTTCTCTCTGAACGAAGGCGGCGCACTTAAGGCAAAAACAACGGCGGTCAGCAGCAACAACAGTTTTATCATGTTGACTGTGTCAAAGCTTGAACAAGAATAAACTGTTATGTACGGCCGAGGAAGGTGCTGATGATGGTTTTTCAACGGAAATTTGAATTACTTACTTAGGCTTGTACAGGCTCGATTGGATTTGCGAAATTTAACTATAGATCAGTGACGGTTCAATCTTATTTGTTTTTATTTATTACTTTTAATTCATTGGTAATTACAAAATTATTCATGAAATAAATAGCTTTTTTCAAAATAAAATATATGTATAAATAAATCGGTCATTATACTATTAAGGCTTTCTGCCATTTTTTAGTTGTCCCTAACATTTCTTTCATTCTGCATATATTTCATGGTTTTGTAAGAAGCAGAATTCTACACTGTTCAAAATTTCATGACCATTTTATCACCAAATTAACACCATATTTGGTCTATATCGATACAAACCAAAATGGTGTTAAATATGGTTCGTTGGTCCGGTGTAAATTCAAATACCTACTAAAATAGTGTACTTTCACAGTATTAAAATAAATTTTACCTGGTGTAAATTGAACTCATTTTCAGTGTTAAATATTATGTGTTTGTGGTCAAATTAAATCATACTACACAGAAAAAAGGAAAAAAAAGGAAACAGGAAGTTCCTTGACGCATTACAAGTATATTACCAGTGGTATTATTCCAGAAAATGGAACCTTCAACTCGCTATAGCGATTATCTCTATAGAGATAATGTTTTTTGTGCGTTCCACTAACTTAAAATACTTCAAGTATTGACAGCTGTTTCCACCTATTTAAGGTCTATAGACCTATAGTAACGAACAACTTGTAGTGTCACACCAAAGCAAAGGACTACCTGAGCTTATATATTCTTCATGTAAGTCAACAGAGGCGAGATTTAAGAACATCACGTGATCCACAAAAAAATAAATACTTATGGGTCAACTAAATTAATATAGTTAAATGAACTATTCCTTTTTTTTCTGTGTAGGTGCACTTCTCAAATATTTTTAGATAAACACCGTTTTGGTGTTTGCTGTAAATAACATTTTTAACCATAATTCATGGTGTTATATTAACACCACTTGGTGTTGGATTTTGACACCATTTTAGGATTACTCTTTACACCACATATATTTTAAACAGTGTAAGTAAATGTAATAAAAAATAAGAATGTGATAAAATGTCTGAATAATTTTTTAAGCGTGACCAAACACTGGAGTTTAGCATTACATATAAAGAACTCTGTAACCCATGTAGTTTATAACTGTGGCACGAGACGGCGCCGATGCAGGCAATGGTATCGCTATTGCTATTTTGCGCGTTACAAACAAGTAGCGTGTTTTTGAAGGTTATCTTTCGTCACGACATTTACTCGGTAAGTATTTGCAGTATTTAATTTTCTTTTTCATGTAAAGTAAACCAATTTATTTCTTTTTAATTAATGCAATGTTTTATGTGCATTTATTGTGTCACTTGGAAAATTGATTTTTTTTATTGTAAAAATGTCTCCTTCGACACATGTCTCTTTTGTCACACTGCACTGCTATCGCTACGATATTAAAATTTAGTGCTGAGACTAACATTAGAATTACCTTTAGTTCGCCTAAATAGGTAATAGTCACCATGGATATGAAAATGTGAAATATTTATTTTTTAGAGGTAGATGGGGCTAAAAGTATAATGTTTTTCAACAATTTTTTTTATAATATTTTTGGCAAACAATATTAAAATTTGTGCAATAATCAAAATTAATTAATTAATCAATCAAATCATTTTGCTGTATTTTTGTTAAACTGATTTTATTATAATAGTTATAAACCTATATATTTTTGAATAAATATTTAAAGCAAATATCGGTCTTGGAAAATTGGTTATTAATTTTTTGATGCTGAAAAATAACGGTAAAGTTAATGAACACGTAAACTTCTTAACCTATTGGCACAAAAATGGCAAAACTCGTTTTAATTGCGTTTTTATTTCATTTAAAATAAGGCCAAAGATCATCGGAATACCTACCTGATTTTTAAATTTGCAAAACAAATTAAAGAAGTTATAAAAGTGTGATATATTCTATTCTTACAATATTTTTTATAATCAGTTGTTTCTAGTTAACAAACATTAGTAAACATGGTTTTTATGATTAAATCTCGAAATATTAGCTACTGTACAAATATTAATTAGGTATATAATTGTTACTTTGGTTGGTTTACAAAATATAGAATAATATTTCAATTATGTGTATTATTTACTTCCAATTATAAAAAGCTATTAATCCCATCCCAATAAACAATTTGTACTACTTATGGTAACGATAAATTATATAAAGGTTATATAAGGGTTGTCAAGATATATAAGAGATTAACATGGTTTCATAAAATCGCCATTTAGTTTACTAGTTTTATTATGGTCATATAAGGTTACTGTAAACTCTAGGTTTATAATTAGGTTATATAATTGTTTCTACAAACATTTTATATACCTTTTTGTACCAGTTACCATTGGGTTTATAAAAGAGTTTTATAAAGTTTGCGGTTACCTGTTTAATAAAAATATTTTGTCTTTATTTTTTTTAAATCAAAATTGTGTTGTAAAAATTTGAATTAAAAATTTGTTGAAAGGAAAATATTTAGCATAGAATATATAAGTAATATAGTATTATTAACATAAATATTTTAAAAGTGGATTAAATCGAATATTTAGTGAAAAAAAAAATTTAATTGTCTTAAAACCATTAATACTGAAGGCAAAAATGGCGAACCTGACAACACCAACCTGAGCGGTTAGAAGGTTGCCTATCAAAAGTTTTATAACATCACTTGTAGTAACGACAGCTACTACAATGTATATAAGAGTTTTAAAATTATATAATAACACTTTAAGTAACTTAAATAGTCCTATAAAACTGAACTAGTACCTTAGGTTATATAAAATTACCATAAGCAATATTAGAAGGCTCAAGGTTGATACCTTCTTTCGCTATACTTGGCTTCTCAAAATATTCGCGTGGTTTAAACAAGTTAACGAATAAGATGACAATAAGAATAATAGCGTACCTATAAAGAAATATATATTTTAAATGAGCCTTAGGGAGAGAGAAATATTAAAAGAAAAAAAACCGGGAGCAGTTTTAGGAAGTTATATAGTGGTTTCCAGAATATTCCTGTTATCTCTAGTTATAAAACTTGGGTTTTATAGTGTTACTAAAATAGGTAGCGAAAACCTTCATAAACTCCCCAAATAAGCTCTTTACGGGGTATATAAGAGTGATATAAATATTTCTGTAACCAAATTAAGAAAATTAGGTTTTATAATTTGGGTGAGATTAAATCAGAGAGACTGTAATAATGTAACAATCAAATAAAAATATGTCTGTTTTAAAGAAATAAAAATACAAAGATTGGTTCATAACTTGAATATCTATCAATACCCTTCCATAGTATCGCCACTGCCTTTCCCAACATTAAATGCAATTGACAAAATGAAGAGGTCACTCATCTCCCGTTACCCAGTGCCATGTCTTGTTACGGTACCTCCTCTGTAATCTTTACCTCTCGCCAAAACAAGCAACAGTTCACCGCATAACATCGAACAGTAAACACGATGTTAAAACACTCGATATTGGTTCTCGCGTGCGTCGCCCAAGTGTTCGCATCGCCTCTACCCAAAGAGCCCAAAGACAACGAGGGCAAGGTGCTCTACGATCAACGGCAAGAGGGCGAGTGGAATGTCAGAGCGGATCTGCAGAATTTCGTGATCATGATCATACCAACGCAAACATCCTCGCCATCCCCTGTGGGATCAGAAGTGGGATTACTGGACTTCCTCAGCAAATCCATCCCCAAAAGGAACCACCTGAAGAGATTTAAAGTCAAAGCACCCGCCGCAATGCAAAGCCAAGATGTGAGTCCAGATACCATGCACTTCATCGAATCCAAGTCGGCTCCGTACCACGTTGACATCAGCAAGACGAAAACGGAGCTCAGCAAACTGCACCCTCAGAAAAGAAGTGAAGAATTGGTTGCCAACTCCCCAAGCTTAAGACTTTCCCGTGCAGTTGTATTTTCAGTGCCGGACGAAGAGTTCGTTGTGACTAGAACGGAGGATCACAAGAAGGTTGTGAAGAAAGACGGCAAGAAGAAGATTATTAAGGAAAAACCAACCTTGATGCTGATCGGGGAGGGTATTGAACAGTGTGGACCAGGGAGGGAGCGGGACGAGCAGGGTATTTGTAAATCCAGCAAACAATAAAAAAATACTGTTATTATTTATTTTTGTAGTTTAGTTAAATAAATGTTTTTTCTTTGTAAACACAAGATTATTATTATTATTACAACTAAAAATAAAACGATTTGTTGTTGAGCAAATAATTTATTTCTTATAAACTATAAATAGGATTCACAGATAACTAACATATCAATAAATTAAATTCTTAAACTAGTTACATCGTCATAATTAATTACTCGATGTTTGTATTGGAGTTATCTGGAGAAGCATATCGAAATTTAGCTGCCAAGTTGGTCGCCAATCTGCTGATTCCTCCAAATCTATATACAAAAAAGAGAAGATTATTTTACAAGCTTTTGATTTCTCATTAATTGTAATTATTGATAATTAATTAATTAATTGCAAAGTAATCCCGGCGCATTCGCCATTTTTGACGATTTAAAAATGCACAATTTTAACTACAAAAATTTATTCTGTCAAGATATCCAAAAACATTGAAATAAAATCAAACTAATAGTAACATGGTACTATAATAGTAATAATTACTATAAATTTAATTTTATTTCAATGTTTTTTCATGGATAAGTTGGCAGAATAAATTTTTGTAGTTATTATTGTGCATTTCTCTACTAAAAAGTCGTGAATTCAGTGCCGTGCTTAGATTTTGTTTAAAAAAATCGCTAATATGAATTCTAAAAAATTTACTCTTAAAAACTCAATACACTGAAAGGCAACAAGGGTTCAAGGGACTTTTTGCTAATAATAATAAAAAAAAATCGACCGAGGTTTTAGAAAATCCACTTAATAATTCTCTAAAACTGATTTTCTGAAACCTTGGTGTTAAGATAAATTAAAGGTTGTTACTCTTCACCATATTACGAAGAAAAAAAACATAAATCTTTAACTATGTTAAGTAGTTAACATAGCCATATTTAAAAAAACATTTTCCCATAGTTTAACATCTTCAAAAATAACGGTTGGTTTATGTGCTTTAAATTTTTTATACATCCTGTTAAATATTTGTTTTAAGCAAAAATGTAATCATTAAAAATTAATTAAATTCACGAAGAGTAAAAATACAAATGTGGGAATAAATGTTTGATTTTTTTAATTTAATTTATTAGGTTCTTAACTCCTACTAATTTAAATAAAATGCTAATTTGATACATTATTTTGCTGTTAATAAAAAATACAGCTGATTTTATCAACAAAAAATATTTAATTACTTGAAAATAAATAATACATGCTAGTTTAATTTGTTTTACACTTAGTTTTGACTAGGATATAGTATTTTTTACAAAAAAAATGATCCAATGTTTTTATTTACTAGGTTTTAATTTTTTTACTTAGCCATATTGCATATTTTGGGTTTGGTTCATCTCCTTAAGGAAAAAACCCTTGAAAGATATTCTATTTCAAAAAACATTTAAAATTTAATTATTTTTATGTAAATATAAGTTTTATTTGCAAAAAATAATTTTTTTGTGAAAAATAATAATTTTATGACATAAAATAAGAATAAAAAAACTTTCTCATAACTTTTTTCTTTAAATTTTATTGTAAATAGTATATTAAAGAACTAAAGAACAATTTATAAAACAAGCGACAAAGAAGCGAGTTTTGTAATGGACGAGTGCGACAAAAGGTCTTATGACATGAGTTCTTTATGCTATTTTATATATTTTGCAAAAATTCTATAACAAAATAATAATTTTATACCTTATATTTAATTTGGTAAAATTTTAGATGGTTAGTATCACAGTCATTGGTTTGACAGTTAATGTCAAAATCGATTCGCCATGCCGTCCTAAATTTTCCTATTTACAATAAGCGGCTGTTAATGTTAAAGAAGAAAAAAAGGATTTTCTTTGGTGTTAAACAAAATTTATTGCCAGAAAAGTCTCGTAAATACTAGAAAAATCATAAAAATATTATAACCAATATGCAAAATATTATGCTGTTTAAAGTATAGACAACCTATAGAATCAAAAGTTTGGGTGGGATAAAGTGTCTCATTACAGCACCGAAAGCGGTGTTATAATGAAGTCATTATGAACGCAAAATAGATAAAAGTGTTTTTATCGTTCTGAAAAGCAGTTTTATTCGAATTCTATTTATTATATCAAGTTTATAGTCAATTTAATATTAATTTCATTACATAAAATAAGAATTAAAAAAAACTTCACTTTACTTTCTTTGTTCGATTTTATTGTAAAAAGTGTTTTTCTCATTCTGAAAAGTAATTTTATTCGAATTCTATTTATTATATGAAGTTTATTTATAGCTAATTTACAAAATTTAATTATTTTTATGTAAATTTAAGTTTTATTGCAAATATTTGACAAGCAAAATACCTTCAATATTATTAATAATTCACAATTCTCAAATTATTTGGTATTCTTCAATGGTCGTTATAACCTTTGACTGGCCAAATGATGATAATTATTATTTTACTGGTATACTTACGGTAAGGGTCCTGGTCCCGGTCTTCTAACTTTCCTGCATCTGCCCTTCTTGTCCCTGGAATACCCAGACGAACACCTCCTCAATGGGGTATCCCCTAGAGCCAAACTGTCGTTCACATCCCCCAGATCTTCACCGGGGACAATCCCCACGTGTGGAGGAGTAGACACAGGCGCCTCCAAAATTTGAACCTTTATTTTTCCGGGCTGGGACATTTCAGCTTCAGCGACAGGCGTGCTCGAAAGAATCATTTCCAGTTTTTCAGTGGATGACGGTTTTTCTTCGATTTTCGTTGGCGGGCTCGGGTTTATTTCCACCAAGGGCTTTTCAGTTGTAAGCGGTAGCAGAATGGGGTAGGGGTGGTTGTTGGGTTTCACTGTGGTTTGGTTGTCAGCCGGTTCGATGGTTACATTGGGCTTGGAAGTTGTTGAACCTGAAGGTTTGACCGTGAAATCGGAATAATCGTAGTTGTAATCATAGTCCTAAAAAATTAATCACATGAATAAAACCACCACGATTATACTTAATATTCGTGAAAACCAATAACAAAATCCATTTATTTTTTTTTTGAGCATGGTAACTTTTAGCACGTGGTAGCATGTTAACCGTTATTCCAATTATAGGATGATAAGTGGACAAAATCAAACAGTAGATGATATATTGATTAAACTTGTTTTTTTTTAAAGCAGGCGGTTTACTTAAATAGTTTTTTATTCTTTTAAATTACATTGTAAGTTTACCGTGCATAAAATTACAACGATAAATTTAAATGTGTATTCTAGACATCCGAATTTTTTATGGTTGTTGAAATAACCAAATAATTACTTTATTATAAATATATTATTATTATATTATTCTATTCAGACAGACCAAAATTTTCGATATGGATAAGGGAAATTTAAAAGGGTTATAGAAAAATATTATTTTTTTTATAAAAAGTATATTTTGACGTCGTTTTGTTTTGTATACACTATTATAAAATCAGATTTGTTAAGATAAGTTTGTAGTTTGTTAATTTTATTTTGTAATATTTTAAGATAATTTTTTGTAGAAAACCAGAGTAATTATTTTAACAAAGGAAAATATAATATTTTATATCATCCAAATCATATATTTATAATATAAATATATATATATATAAATTTTATATCACTCTTATATACCCCATAAAGAGCTTATTTGGGGAGTTTATGAAGGTTATTGGTACCTATTTTAGTAACACTATAAAACCCAAGTTTTATAACTAGAGATAACAAGAATATTACTAACTAACTACAGTTATATACGACTATCTAAATTACTTAAAGTGTTATATAATTTTAAAACTCGTTACTACAAGTGATGTTATAAAACTTTTGATAGGCAACCATCTAATCGCTCAGGTTAGTGTTCGATTTAAAAAACTTATGTTAATAATATTAAATTACTTATATATTCTATGCTAAATATTTTCTTTTCAACCAATTTTTAATTAAAATTATGAAAAAGCATTGCGTCGAACGCTAATACTATGATTAATTTCTGTTTCAATTACTAAATATTTTTGGTTTATTAAGCACACTAAATAATAGTAAAAAAATTAAAGACACAGTTGTTTTATAAAACAGAAAACCGCGAACTTTATAAAACTTCTTTATAAACCTACTGGTAACGGTTAAATTTAACCTTAAGGTTATATAAAATGTTTGTAAAATCAATTATATAACCTAATTATATACCTAAAGTTTACAGTAACCTTATAGGACCATTATAAAACTAGTAAACTATATATAAAACCTTGTTAAACTCTTATAATATAATATAATATAATATAATATAATATAATATAATATAATATAATATAATATAATATAATATAATATAATATAATATAATATAATATAATATAATATAATATAATATAATAGTAAAAAAATTAAAGACACAGTTGTTTTATAAAACAGAAAACCGCGAACTTTATAAAACTTCTTTATAAACCTACTGGTAACGGTTAAATTTAACCTTAAGGTTATATAAAATGTTTGTAAAATCAATTATATAACCTAATTATATACCTAAAGTTTACAGTAACCTTATAGGACCATTATAAAACTAGTAAACTATATATAAAACCTTGTTAAACTCTTATAATATAATATAATATAATATAATATAATATAATATAATATAATATAATATAATATAATATAATATAATATAATATAATATAATATAATATAATATAATATAATATAATATAATATAATATAATATAATATAATATAATATATTATAATTTGGCAACTCTTCTATAACCTTTATGTAATAAAGCAAGATTTCCTATCAAAATTCTTTTCATTTAAGTTTCCAATTTTCAACAAATACTTTTGTAACTGTGTAACTAAACTAATATTACTATATTAATATTATAATTAATAAAACATTTTGTTATATTTTTTACTTTGAAGTATTATACTATCTATAAATATAATACACATGCAAAAATAACGTATCCAATACAAATATTGTTTTTAAAGGTTAATAAATTGTTGTAGTATTAAATTACAAAAAATCGAAGTTTAGATTAAATATTAAATCATTAAAAAAATGTATTTTTGAAAACAAAACTTACCCCTCCTATAGAATCATCAGCCAATAAGGCAATTATTTGAAAATCTTTCAGATGCAGCTGGATATTGTAATCCCCTGTTTGTTTCTGGTCGTAAACCGTTTGCGGCAGCGACGTCTTTGATTTGGATCTAGGCGCCGCTTCCACAAGGCACGCGCCCAAAATACACACGACTGCGACGATCTTGAAACAGGCCATCTTCGATCTTTAGCGGCCAAGAGCACTCTGGATCTTTAGAAGAACAAAATCGAGAAGTATGGAGTCAGGATGAAGTGTGACCAAAAGTGGGAGCCGCATATGTTTTAATCCGAACGAGTCGAGAAGAAACCGCTAGGTTCGAAGAACCGATATGACTTTATTTTATTGCAGGCTACCCAAAGTATTTTATTATTTCGATTTAGCAGCCTGATAGAATAATGATGTTAAACATATTAACATTAAACATATTGCCGCATAAACTCGTAAATTGTATGCCTATTTTGCTGTACCGTTCTATGCTTAAAAACAATTGTCTAAGCATTATAAGTATACTTATAATGCTTAGACAATTGTTTTTATACACAACACCTTTAACTCTACATTTCTGCAATCTATTGGATACCTACAAAAACTAAATTATAAAAATTAAAACTTAATTACAACCATTTTTTTTAAATAAATTTTAAGAAATCATACATTTTGAATATGGGAGCTTCACGGAGGTTAGGATTTCGTATGTTTTTTACAGTTCCCTTTGTATATTTGAAATAAGTTATTGCATCTTTTGACACCTTAATATTTTTAAAAAATACAATTGTACATAAGACATAAAATATTTATAAAAAAATCTACTTACTGAGATATTAGACTTCACACTGGATAGGTTTTTAAATATAGCAAATTAATAAACTTAAACTTTTGAATTATAAAACTGCATATAAATTCTAACTGACCTTCAGGAATCACATGCATCTATAATGTCGTAAACAGAGGTTTTTGCTTTTTTAAAATTATTAAAGCGCCATCCGTTGCATAAAATTTAAAGTAAAAACTGATTCACGGAGGATAAAATCAATTTTTGTAACAGCTACATAAATGGTTATAAAGATTATTCCTTTAAATTTTTAATAATATTTGGAGGATGTGTTTAATTTACTTAGTGAACTGATATTTTTAGTATGCTTTCATTTAAAAACATATAGGTTAACCTAGAAGGAGTAACAGTCACGGAGGATAGGTTTTGGACTTTTAAAACATTGTAAAAAATAATTAATTGCGGTTAAAAATCTGGAACCTGAGCTGTAATATCTACTTAATTATGAAAGATCAAAACACAATAAAAGTAAAGGTAAAACTCATTTGGTTTTATTAAATATCACGGGGTAACACCATCGGGGGACATTTCGTAAGATTCACCCATATATACAGTAGGTACTAATTTAAAGCCACCCACTTTAAAGTGGCCAATCTTTAAAAGAAGCAGGTAAAATAAATATTTAATAGATTATTAGGTAATATATAAATAAACTAATGAGTCATAAGTAACGGGGTGTCGAACGGAACCCTGAGGCACAGCCGGACACGTTTATAAAATTGCACATACTTTCACACATACTGCTTATTTGCTGTATTTTGTATAGATGACCTCGTTTCCTTTTTTGAGAGGAAATTTGTAGATTTGCCGTATCATCTTATGCGCATAGTCAATTCATACCTAAAATATTATTATTTTGTATGCTATACACTATACACTAAATATTTTGACTCTGTAGTCACTTCCTTTGAAAACGCGGCTGGCGGCGCAGTGGACACTGCGAAATCTCTAGGTTATATTGTTAAAAGTTAGGTTATATTATTTAAAATAGAAAATGTTTATAATTACAAGAAATTGTAGAAGATTTATAAAATTACACAAACATATTACCACGTTTCCTAGCATAGGTAATGATAAATTTCAACTGACATGCAAAAATATTAACCAAACGAGATGTTTAAGTCAAAACGCTCCCAATGTAAACACAAATAATTATGAAACCAAAGAAGGTAAATTAAATATAAATAAATACAATAAATCAATAAAAAAGAATGTTTTTAAGAGGATGAAAATTATGAAATTAATTATGAAGCTATAGCCAATGGCGACAAAATGTTGGAACATAAAATTAAAGTTATAGCACTCGAAGTGGAAGTTATGAGACAAGAAGGCAAAAATGTGCCACCGCCATCGTTTTTTACCGATGAACATTGGCGAGAGGCTGCAAATTTACCCACAAGGACTGCTCGACGTAGGCTGTTCGACTTTTTATTCAAAACATTAAAGAAGAAAGAAAACGAAAAGGTAGGTACACATTGTATGTCTACTTAATAGAATTGCTGTTCTCTTTCAATTCACTTCTATCAGGTCACTTTGGCCCAATATAAGTTTTTTTGTAAATAAAACCAAATATAGTTATAATTGTTTATTTATTGTACATAATTATTAAAACAAAAAAATCTATGTATTTGAATGGTTTAATTACATAGTTGTCTATGTATGTTGGTTATTGGGTCCCATTGACCCAACGTAAAAATTTTATAAACTTTATATAAAACATTAGGTAGGAACCATTAAAAAAATTTTTTTGGTTATAAGGCAATAATTTGTCTAAAAATAAAAATAATTTATTTTGTAATACTATTTCTAAATTAAGAATTTTTCTTACCAATGACAAATTTTCCTGGTACAGTAGGAACAAAACAGTTCTACAAAAAAACTTATATTTACCTGTTAGGTATATGAAATGTAAAATAAGATACCTACCTAATAGGTATGTGGTTATAATAAAGATTACATCTTGTAGATTAAAAAGGAGAAAAAAAAGTTGGAAAGGGACAATAAGCCGGAACACAAAAAATGTGAAACATTTGAAGAATTTGCAAGCACATATGATTTAGCCCATAACAACCTATTTCTTAGATTTTATGATACCACAATAAACCAATTATATAACAATAAGCTAGTTCAAGCAATGCGATTTGGCCAAAAACTGGTTATTGATTGTGGCTTTGATAAAAATATGAGCAAACGTGAAAATATCAATTGTGCAAAACAATTTCAGTTTTTATTTGCTGAAAATAGATTACATAAAGATCCCTATGATATCCACTATTGCAACTTAGGACAAAATAGTGTATTAAGAGAATATTTTGAAAGGCAGATTCCCACTCTATATGAATCCTGGTTTCCAATAAATGTACATGAAACTAGTTATTTGGATAAATTTGCTAAGGAACAGCTGGTTTATTTAACCCCGCATTGTAGAGAAGAATTGGAGTATAGTCATGATGATGTTTACATAATTGGAGGGATAGTTGATAAGGTAATTGTAAAAAATCTATTTTATTTTGTATTTAGTATTATGTTTGTATTTAAACATTATTTAATTTATTTATTATTGGTAATTTTAATGTAAAAGACAATTTTTTTTTAAACATCGTTTTATGTTTTTGTAATTTGTACAGGGTGTTCAAAACATACCGCGATTTTTGCTGAAGGGTTTTTCTAAATTTTTAAGTTATCAAAAAATACCTTCTGTTAAATTTCGATTAAATTTTAAAAAATATTTATTTAGGTCATTAGGCCAAAAGCTTTGTATTGAGCTTAAATTAATTAATTAATTATCTAAATAAAATTAATATTTTAGATTAATAACGAGCCCCTTTCATTGGCAAAAGCTAAAAGAGAAGGTCTTAGGATGGCCAAACTACCATTAGATAAATACTTGCAGTGGGGATCTGGTTCAGGCAAAAGCTTAACTTTAAATCAAATGATTTTAATATTAAATGATGTAAAAACTACAGGTGATTGGAAATATGCGTTAAGGCATGTTCCTAAAAGGAAAATAGCAGAGTTTTATATTTCCAAAAATATTCAAGGATCTACAGATAACTTAAGGTTTGATAGAATTAGGAGAGAGAAAAAATGGGTACCTGCAACAAATATTGATTTTAATAATCTTAGGTTTAATAAAAAAAATGATAATGGTAAAAGTAAGCTAAAAACTAGTCTGAGGAGTATATTTAATGATGAATAAAATATTTTGTACTGTTAATTTTTTAATTATTTATAAAAAAACCTGCACAAGAAATATAAAATCCCTACTTTGCTGTAATGTGGCAAAATTAATATTAATAAATTTATAAGTGTGATTTGTGTCTACTTACCTTGTATTTATTACTTAACAATTGATATTTTCAGTCTGAAAAGGAACCTTTAATAGTATGAGGGATAAAATTATTTTTGAAAATTAATTCTGCAACTAATTCAAATGCAAACAAATTAAACACTTAATCAATTTATTCATTTATATACAATAAAAAAATTAAATTAATACAGTCGAAACATTTCTAATTTCTTCGCCTTCTAACACGCGATATTCTCCAGGCATTTGGTTCTTCGTATTTGTTGTATAACGGTTCCAAACGTTGGTTTTTCTTAAACTTGCTCAACTTTGTAGGATCTGAGAATTTAAAGAATGCGGGTGCAAACTCTACCAGCCATTTGGGATCTATTGTTGTTACCTCCCTCATGTATTCTTTTGTGGTTTGCACCAACTCGTGATATATTACCCTAAAATATTTAAATTTCAGATTTTAATTATTAAAAAGGTTATATATTAGGGTGTTTCAAAATAAGGCAATATTTTTCTTTTTTCAAATTCATGTGAAATTCTTGCTGCATTTATGCTGAAAAAAAATTCTGTCAAAATTTGAGCTCTTAATATTAATTTTAAAAGGTCCATCATCGAATTTAAAGTTTTTCCATTGATTTAACATGGAAAAATAGTTTGTTAAGATTTATTTCGCCTGCATGCTATGTAGAACTTTTTTTTTTGATAAACAATCACTGGTTCTTTTTTAGCATTAAATTATCTACAAAAAATCTTACAGTCCAGTCTGTAATATTAATTTTAAAGGGTCCATCACTGAATTTAAAATTTTGCCATTGATTTAACATGAAAAAATAGGTTTTTAAGATTTATTTCGCCGCATACTATGTAGAACTGTTTTTTTTGATAAACAATCACTGGTCCTTTTTTAGCATTAAATTATCTACAAAAAATCCAGTTTGCAGATTCAACTCAAATTTATATTTTTACATTTAGCGGCTAAAGTACTAATCGTAGAAGAAAAAGTTAATTAGCAATTTTAAAGATCTTTTAATGCTCTACAAATTTGTTTTAAACAATTTTTGCAAAATTTTCTCTAAACTTTTTTTCCTACAGTAAATATTATAATATATTACGCATAATCATGAAAATGGGATTTTAGACACTTATAACTATTGAACTGTAGGTGATAAAAAAAATTGATCCATACGAATTTGTAGAACATTAAACGATCTTCAAAATTGCTAATTGACTTTTTTTCTACGATTTGTAGTTTAGCCGCTAAATGTAAAAATATCAATTTTTTTAGAATTTATACGTTTCAACGTTAATAAAAAAGAAACAGTTAAATCTACAAACTGGACTCTGTAAGAATTTTTGTAGATAATTTAATGCTAAAAAAGGACCAGTGATTGTTTATCAAAAAAAAGTTCTAGGTATATAGCATTCAGGCGAAATAAATCTTAAAAAATTATTTTTAGTTAAATCAATGGGAAAACTTTAAATTCGATGATGGAACTTTTAAAATTAATATTAAGAGCTCAAATTTTGACAGAATTGTTTTTTAGCATAAGTGACGAGAATTTTACATGAATTTGAAAAAAAGAAAAATATTACCTTTTTTGAAACACCCTAGTATATATAATAACCTTTATACTACCAAAAAGTACGCCACTGATCGACTAGGAACTTTAGGCTAATCTGGTTGCCTAATTTAATTTATTATGTTATGGTTGGTAACAACCAGCGTTTCCAAATTCTGTCAAAAAAAGTTGCCAGATTTTGTTTAAATTTAGTTTAATTACAAAAAGGACAAAATCAACAATGCAAATTCTTAATTTGTTGTTTTTATTAATTGTGGATTATGTCATTTTTGTAATGAAGGTAAATTCAAACAAAATCTGGCAACTTTTATGACAGAATCTAGTGCATTTCTTTCAATTTTAGGTTATGTGCTCAAATTGTAAATATCTTAACTAAGGGAAGTGCTTTTGGATTTATTTACACAAATTGAATGTTTAAAGTTTAACCTGTGAACTTGTCCTAATTTCATCTGAGTAAACAGAAAGAAAAAACCAAAGAAAAAATTAATTTTGTGGTTATGGAGTTTTTAAAATAGGTACTAAATTTTCTAATCATTGATTAAGCTAATAGCTGGATGAGTAAATAAATACAGAAGGGTATTAGAGCTTTCAGGGCATATAACTTTTGTATTTATTGAGTTCTTATTTATTTTTTGCAAGAAAAATTTTTAGTAACATTTTTTTTACAACTGGCAACGCGCAGCTACTTTATTGGTCATTCAAATATTTTTATTACAAAATTTCTCACATTACATTTAAAAGTACGTTTTAAATTTTAAAGTGATAATTTTTGGATGATTTAAATGACTACAAATTTAAACCAATTTTTAAAAACCAATGTTTTAAACTTTACCAATTTAATCTAAATAAGTTAAAAACAAATTTATTCAAGATTTACAAAATTCTGCCCAAATAAATTATACTTGGAAATTTTTTCAAAAATTGATTGGAAATAATATTTTTTAAAACAGTTAATAAATTTTGTTTTTCAATACATGATAGTTGAAAATATTTAAAATTTATAATTTTAGTTAGGAACAATTTAAACCAATAAAATTTAGAATTAAAAAATTATTTAATAAATGTTAAAACAAACAATTCAAATTGTAACTACTCACCACTCGGGTTGTCTGTTGAATAGGGCACTTGAAGGATGTATATAGACAACTTGGCTGTCCACCAGAGTCCTATAACCTTCTTGAGGATCTTTTTTGGCGGCATTCCTAAAGAACCCTGAACATATAGCTTTTTGAACTCTAACTGTATTTCTATCTGCTGACACAACGTCCAACTTGTGCCTGTCCATGATCCCCAACAGTTGCTTTCTAACGTCCTGCGCTCTCTTAAGAGTCCTAATTTGCACGAAATTTTCGTAGCACCAAGCGTTGGAGAACTTATTGTTCTTCCAGCTGTTGTAAACGGCCAGAAGCGTCAGGTGGTCGCCTTCGGGCTGATTGAACTTGGCCTTTTTCTGATCGGCCAGCGCTTGTTTGTCTTTCGGTCGGTAGAACACGTTCTGCACCGAAAGCATGCTGACTATTGTCAGAATTTCGTCGGAACATTGCAGCGCCACCGACATTATCAACATCTTCGATAAATTTGGTTCCAAGGGAAACTCGGCCATCTAAAATCAACATCAAATATGACATAATGGGGTAGTTAAATTATTTCTGACCTATACTTTTTATGGTTTTATTCAAGGCGTTTTGTAATTTTAAACATTTCTGTGAAATCGGAATTTCAATTGAGTTTACCGTTTTCGAGATATTTACAAAAAAAATCTCCTAATTACGTCACTAGGCTATTGACAACGTTGCCAGCTTTTTCTATGGTTGCCAGTGTGTTTAGTTTAAGATTCTTACGATAGATGGCGCCACGTTATAATATTTTAGTTTTAAAACCACTTGATCTATAATTTTAGTTGAGAAGAAGAAGAAGAATTGATTTTTTGACGTTTCTTTTTTTTGGGGTGTGTTTTTTTTTTAATTTAGATTATTGAAAATCAATGGTATTGTTATGTTATTTGTAATTGATATTAGATAAGTGATTTATTAATAACGGAATCCAAAGCAGAGGAATCTTGTGGAATGGTTGGTTACATTGAACATTGGAGCTTTTAAACAAATAAAGTAAGTACCTATAATTATAATCATATTTTGTCGTAAATGCATTTCATTAGTATAATGCCTAGTTCTTTATATTCTTTTAGATATATCTTGGACTCTAAAATATCAAACAGTAATATGATACCTCGTAATAAGGAAGATAGGTACTTAATGAATTTGGTGACCATCGTTCACTCAACTGACAGTGACAGTATTTGTACATAACCTCTTCGGGTATTTTCTGACATAACCGAATGAAATCATTAACAAAACAACTTGACAACAGGGTAATTTTCAACCAATAGAAATCTTAAAATGTTGGTCACATGGCGAGGTTTGTGACGTCATAAAAATTTATATTTTTTGTAAATATCTTGAAAACGGTAAACTCAATTGAAATTCTGATTTCACAGAAATGTTTAATATTCCAAAACGCCTTGAATAAAACCATAGGTCAGAAAAAATTTATCTACTCCATTGAGTTGTGTTGTAAAATTGTTGGATTCTTACCCTTCTACCGAGCCTCGTCAAGAGACCCTCGTCGTCCAGGGCAGAAAGGGAATGCAACTGCTCCAAGGCCATAATAAGGGACTCCACAGGCGGGGCGTCCATGAAATCGAAGTGGAGCAAGTCGTTGATGCCCATGGTTTTTAATTGAAGGACGGTGGTCGCCAGATTGGTTCGCTGTATTTCGGGTACCGGGGTTGGCAACATCTCGTCCCGGTATGCCCTTTCGGTGTACAGACGGTAACATTTGCCGGGACCCGTGCGCCCCGCACGTCCCGCTCTTTGTTTGGCTTGAGCCTAGCGAACAAAACATTGTTTTCATTATGTTTCTATGACACCAAGTGATCTTTTAAATTTTTAGTTTTAGTCAAGGGCTGATTAGCTTTAAGTAAGTTAGTTAGTTAGTTGTCATACATTATTTTTGTAAAAATTAAGTGCCCTTCTAAAAATTTTAGTTTGGCATTTTGCGGCCGAATTCGTTACTGCCAAACTTAATTAGGTTATAAAATCAGCTGTCAAAAATTGTGCCCTTAGTTTTGAAAGTTCCATGATTAGTGGAAGAATAATAAATAGGAGACATAAGAGTGTAGCGCAAATACAAATTCAAAGTTGAGTTCTTTGAGAAATGCAAAATGCTATTGCAGGTGGGTAATAATTAATTATTCTTTTTGTTTCATTAAAATAGTCTATACCCTAAAGAAGCATCAGTTTCCAAACGCGCGCGCCATCTGGTGGTGGGTGTTCGATAGCATTTTGCGAATTCATGAATTGTCAAACCTACATTTTATCTATTATTGTCAACAATACATTTAAAGCATACGAAATAAATTAGTTTTTTCAGAAAAGAGAGGAAGAGTTATTTGTGTTTCGCGTTACAAGTAAAAACTAAAAAACTTAGTACTTGATTTCGATTTATCATTGATTAAGAAACTGTCCAGAATTAACTTATAATAACTTTACCTAATATAATTTATATTTAAGTTTGGACATAAATCCAACAAAAAATAATTTATGTACTAACAACCTTAAAATCGAATATTTTTATATTTGAGTCCTCTAAAAAAACGCCGACAACTACATTTTAAACGAAAAAATATGACAACGAATTTATGGAACAATAATATATATAATACATAATATAATACCGGTTCTTGGTATTTTACTGTTGAGTGGAGACTTTCTTAATCAACGCTTTTAATAATGCTAAATGCTGTTTGAATTTAGACGACCTAATTGTTTTATGAATTTACTGAATTGAAATGTTTACACTTTTCACGTTAATCACTACTAAAATCTGTACATATTTATTGTATCTAATAGATACAATTTATATTTACAGCGACTGTATGCAATTTATTAACAAAACACAACAAATCGTGCCGCGGTTTTTTCCCGGTATTTTCTGGATTTTTTTCACAAACTCTCGTTTGTAACACACAGTTAATTATTAAATTAAAATAACGCCACCTTTTGAAATTATAATTTATATTAATATCAAATTATAAAATTTACTTTTTTATTTAAAAGGGCCCTGATCTTAGGGGAAGTTTAGATTAGAAGAAGATTGATTGTCTTAAAACAATGTTAATCATTAAAGCCTGATTTATAGTTTGCTTTCCTTCCTTCCTTCTTTCCTTCCGTAAAAGATTAACAATACGAAAACCGTAGTGCTGTTTATAGATTCCCGTACCAACCGTAACAACCTTACATCTCCTAAAAAATTGTCAAATAAATTTAGTTTTTAATCCTGCATTTTAATGTTACTTTGGGAAATTTGAAAGACTTAACAGAATTTTTGTGTGTAATCACGTTTATAATAGGTGTTTTTGCGGTGCCAATCCCGAACTAGTTCGGACATGCGCAGTTTAATATTTGTCATGCGCATTTTACATTTTGAACCCCAAATTTTAAAAAGCGCATGCCTAGGATTTCCGGAATTAGTTCGGGATTAGCTTCGCGAAAATAGCTAATCTATTTATTTCTGGAGGATTTTATTCCGGCATTTGGTAGAACTAGTTCTCATGTTGGCAACACTGGTTTCGTTTTCGCGCCCAAAACACCACCGAAAAATTCCGACGGAAATTGTTTTGTTTATCTCTCGTTTTGACAGAATCACTTTGATTTTGCTCTTTTTGAGTTTATATCGCCAAATCGAACCAATTAACGTTAATATGGATATGCAAAAGTAAGTTATCTTTTTATTGCTTATTTGTATTCTTAGGTTAGGATTTTCGGGATTTAGATATTGTTTTTTAGAAAGAATAATTTAATTTGTCAATATTGTGAAATGGAACTTTCAAGTACATCTGCTAAAAATAGACATGTCCGGACCAAACACTCGGATCAAGACTTGGGTTCTACATCACAACTGCCGAAAAGAAACAAGCATATTATATGTCCGATATGCAATGAAGCTACTTTCTCATATCATAAGGATCTAATTGAACATTTTACTGGTGTTCATAACATAGCTATAAAAGAATCCACTTTATATTTCAGGAATTTTAATGAGTTTACAGTTTGGAGGGCAATGGAGAACAGAGAAGTGGATTATGCTTGCCTCACGGGAAGAAAATATCCTGATGGTGAAGAAAAAAAAATATATGACTGTAACAGAAGTAATTCGAAAGGTTGTATTATTTTTTAAATGTGTGTATTTGTAACCTATTTGTTTAGGATATGTCAGTTCTGCTAAAAAACGCGGTTTAAAGGCTGGGGGTAGTATTCGAATTCAAGGGAAATGTCCTTCAAGAATTGTGGTTAAGATTTCGGCAAATGGTTATTATTTTTTAATAGAGTTAATATTGGAGAATTTATGTTATTTTTTCTAGGTTCTGTTACCGCAAATTTTGTAGAAACTCATGTGGGGCACATTGATGAACTTAGGACAAAGCGACTATCAAAAGCCGAACAAAGTGCCATTGTTGGACAACTAAAAGCAGGGGTGTCGATTGATAGGGTAATTGAAGATTCCAAAATAATTAAAAATGATAAATTAGGAAGAATAAACCTCCTAACAAGAGCAGATCTAGCATATATAATAAGGAAATTCAAAATTGACAGAAGGAAAGATGCAGATGACATTATAGCTACAGCACTGAAAGTAGGTCCCTCAAGTTCTGAAGAGAGTAATGGTTTGTTTATTGATGAGCCTTCGACAAGCCAGGACGAAGTATTTATTCAAGAAACCAAGCCTGATGTAAAACCAATTACGTTTGAAGATGAACGAGAGGTTGTGATGCCTTAAATATTGTAATGCCACATGTTTAATTTCAAGAGATTTCTTGCAGATCGTCATACAAGAAATGAACAGTTTTGCTCGCGGTTTGGACGAACAATCGTTTAACGAATACGCGGAGAACTTTAGAAAATTCAAAACCGATTGGGAACGACAAAATTCCGAGGAAACTTTTAAGGAAATAAAAATAGAAGAGCCAACATTCATGTAAAAAATAGGACATAGTTTTGGTTTTGAATAATTACGCAGTAGGTATACATATATAGAGGTATAACTTTGGATCAAAACAAAATGCGATTTTCGACCTTATAAAGTGAAGCGAAACTGTAAAACGCCCTTTACCAGTCTTTATGAAATTTTGAATAAAAATACTTATATCTCAGTTTAAAAATCGGCAGTAAAGTAGAACTTTACTGCCGATTTAATACGAGTATTGTATGCAACCCATTATACATATTAAGATGTGTCTACTGCTCCTCAGCAGCAACTAAATAATATTTAAAAAAATCACCGTCGTGGAGGTCGATTGGACCCTTTCATAAACTTTTTAATAAAAATAAGTTAATTTTATTAATTAGATTAAAAAATCGCCGCGGCGGGCAAATATATAATAACCGTCGCAACAAACAGTATACTTAGACACTTCCTATATTCAAATGACATTTGATTTGATCATCAAATGACATTTGATTTAATTATTAGTATTATTACCTAAAAAATGTTATACCATGAAAATATTATTTCTGAAATAATTCCATGACGTTATCTCTTCATATGTTTAAGGAAAAAGTTGATAAAAATTATCAACAAATACAAATGCTTAAAAACAGGTTAAAGGCGTTAAAGTAATATAAATTCGCAAATTAAAAATACCTATTATCTTTAAAAAATACAATATCCACAGGTATACCTAGACAAAATGCCAATAAAAATCCAGTATTCCAGTTATACAAAAGTACTCTTTTAGTTCCGCCCTTACTTCCTAAGAAGTCCCAGAAGCCAACTGAATGGCTTGTGCGGGTTAGGGGTAGGAACGGACCGCGGGCTTAAAGTCCCCTCCGAAGGACTATAGTAAGTATATACAATAAATCTAATGCTTTTGTAATGTTTTTTATTTTACGATTAGTTTTTTTGCAAAAACCAATACTACTTAGTAATATTGGGACATTTTTTTTCATAGAGGCTATTGTTCAGTTTGGAAGTAATTTCCAACGTACTTCTGTTATAAAATGTAATGGACATCAAAATTTGAGATTTTTTTAATACATGTATGTTTTTTAGGGCCGAAACCGATGCAGGAGGGAAGTTTTTAACCTTCTTTCACTTCTGAGCCTATTTATTGTTAAAATTAGTGTATTATTACCATTTTCTATTTAAAATAAATAAATCTTTGCAATTATTTTATTTTATTTATCAAATTTAAATAGGATAGACGCAACCTTTTTGTCGTAATCTTTAACACAATATTAATTTCAAATGGCATGTAATGGAAAACAATTTTATGTATTAAATTTAAATTTTTGTCAAAACATAACTGAGTATTGTTCATTTTAAAAACTTCGCGTTCCCGAGTGTCATCCTGGATATAAAATGTGCATGCAATATGCATCAAAGGGCGATCGATAAAAAATGCATTTTTGTAAATAGAAACGATTACGTTTGAGAAATGACAAATGAACTAAAACTGATCAAAAATGATTTTATCAAAAATTCTTCAGTCCAAAATTCAATCATAAAAATCAAAATTAGCTATAGAATTCTGGGGGTTTGAAATCAATGACATTTTCAGAGAAATGAAAATTTTTTGTCTTCTGCGTTACTATTATTATGTCGTTGGTATCACGCAAGTTGCTATTGGAATTGCAGATTGCAATACAAGCTTTATAAAAACTAACCTTAATTTTAATTATTTATACCTACTTTTTATTTTTGTTGTTTTTGTCTGTCATACTTTTCTAGTAATATTAAGTTTGTCCAAAATACCCACATGCGCAGAAGACGCATTTACAACGTTTTTATATAATTTTTTCAGTTAGTTTTGTAATTACCACTTTCCAGACAACAAATAGTTGCACAGGTGAGGTAAATATATAAGTTTGGGAATTACTAGTAAACCCAAAGTTGTCCCCAATTTACTGGAAATTGACTCGGGTTTTAAAATTTTCGAAAATATTTAGAAGGCGAAAAAAAACCGAAAAAATTGGGAAATTTTAAGAAAAAATAAAAAGTAAATTTTTTTAAAACTTATAATAATTATTTCTATTATTATAATTCAGTAAGACCGGGTCGCAAAAAAACAAATTCGGTACTGTATTATTTAAACGATACCTAGTTATCGTTTTATTTTACACATCAATTTATAAAATTATAATGTTATAATTTAATTTTATAAATCATTCATTATTTTGTAAATGGATATTTTTAATGAACTCCCTTTTACAAAAAGGATCCAACCAACAGTATATTTAACGTTTACGTTTATTTTCCCAAATGAATTCAACATTTAAATTCGATGTTTAGTTTTATTTGCTTTTTTTCTGTAATAAATTCATTATTTTTTTAATAAAATGTTAAGTTGTTGATTGCTTTGTATATTTTCAGAAAATAATCAATTTTTTCCAAAAAATTAAAATTTTCAAAGGCCTGGGGAAAAGCAGTTTCCCCCCAATTTTTCCAGTTTTTTTCGACACTATTTGTAACTAAAAAAAACTTACCTGTGAAATCGGGGTGACAACCAGCGAATCCATTCCAGTTTTGGAGTTGTAAACTTTCTGTTTGACGAAACCGGGATCTACCACGTAAAAAATGCCGTCAATGGTCAGGGAAGTTTCGGCAATGTTGGTAGCAATGACGACTTTTCTGCTGCCAGGCGGAGCCGGATCGAAAATTCTCGTCTGCATTTCCGAGGGCAAGGCCGAATACACGGGAAGAATGATGAGTTCGGGAACATCGGGGCCTAAAAATATTTCGTACCGCTTATTCGCAATCTAAACCATTTTTCACCGCGATATTCGTAAGTAATATCATAAGGGCATCTAATTTTTCCGAAAAAAATCGAAAAAACACGTTGCTAAGTAATATTTTAACAAAAAGCATGAGTGCTGGTGGCAACAAAAATCCGAGTCGAAGAGGAGGATTTTTACACCTGCACGAATGCATTTTGTTGAAAAATATTACTTAGCATTGAGTTTTTTCGATTTTTTTCACAGGAAAAATTAGATGCCCGGATGGTATTTGATAAGACTATTTCATGAGGAACAGTTAAAAATTAAAATATAAATTGCAATTTTTGGCGACAACAGCTGTCAAGTTTTGCCGCGGGTAAACTCGAAAAAACTGCTGACAGGCGCTGTCACACAGTTTTTTCACCTAGAAACCATTTGTAATTCAAAATTGCGCGTTTGTGATTGGTGGAAATTAAGACGAGGGAAATAGTCATACCTAGAGACTTCATTCTTTCGTACAATATTTCGCAGGCCGTGTCGATTTCCTCTTGGCCCGTCAGAAAGATCAGGACGTCTCCCGGGGGTTCCCGCAGGTGGATCTGCATCACGGTGATCAGGCTGGCGTCCAGGTAGTCGGTTTCCGGCTCCTTGGTGTAGAGCACCTCGACGGGAAACGTTCTGCCGGGTATCGTGAAAATCGGCGCCTCGAAGAAGTACTGCGAGAACTTGACGGCGTCCAGCGTTGCCGATGTCACTATGAGCTTGAGCTCGGGGCGCTTTTGCACGGCTTGCTTGAGCAGACCGAACAGAACGTCGGTGTGTATTGTGCGTTCGTGGGCCTCGTCGAGCATAATGACCGAGTAACCTTTGAGGTCCAAGTCCATGAGACACTCTCTGAGCAACATACCGTCCGTCATGTATCTGGAAGAAGGGCGAATATGTTTTACGATAAACATAAAGTTCATTTTTGTTTTATCAAGTTGAGTTGTCAAAATTCGTAGTTAAAAATGCAATTAATTTGGCTTTGGTGGTGCGTAGATGAGTAAAATCATATAAAAAGTAGTTAAATATAGGTGACTACGGCCCAGGAGAGACAAAGTATAAAAGAAATTAAAATTTTTTGTGAACACACGTGAATGTTGTCCAATCATTGGACTCCAATGGTGAATGGGTATTTATTTATTTAATAATTATAATGTATATATTGTCCAGGACTATTAATTATCAGTAACTTGCAAATTGAAAGAAGAAAAAGTTTCGTGATTATTGCTTATCTTTTTCAAACCAAATGGATGCTATTTCAAATACAGGAAAATTAACTACTAGATTTTTCACAACAGCAAATAATTTTTATTTTTTTTATTTCGCCTTATTTTTTTAAAATTTCAAAAATTTTTGATCTGCTTAGCTGAAAATAATGTGTGATTTAATATTTATAAAACCAAAAACTTTACTTTTTTACTCCAAAAATGTCCATAAGGCGATGAATTTTCTGCCATTGAGGCATTTGGCGTAACTTCATCGAAATGAAGTTTTGCTCTTAAAAGTTCTTTTACTTTAGAATCTGATATTATTTTTGGCATAGTTATCTTTTTATATCAATATTATATAATAATTAACAAGTAAACTATCAATAATAAATATTATCAATTTGACAGTGTCAGAGTATTTATTTATTTTTTTATTTTATTTATTTATTTATTTCCATAAAACAATATAATACTGATTTATCATTTAGTATAAAATATATGTATAACGTGTAATAATTATATGGCATCATAATGTTTCAGGTACATTAGAATCTCAAAACAGCCAAAGCATAGAAAAACCAAAGGCTGATAGCGAGATCAGTTTTACAGGTACAGTTGTATTCATTAAAAAAGCGTACAAGAATTAGAATGAGAGAAAACTGTCAACATTATTGCGTAAAACCGGCTTTCCACTGACTTAAGTCACTATAACTGACAGTAGAAAATAAAAATGTCTCGTCGGTTAAAAAGGCTCAAATAGTATCAAGAATCGAAGAAGAATGGTCAATTCGTACCGTGGTATAATAGAAATAAAAAATCTATATTAAAAATTAATAATTTTTGTAATATTATTTAATTAACCTACGACGTCAATGCTCTTTATAACCTATAGTAATTATTTTAATGACTTATGTCAGTGATAAGCCGGTTTTAAGCAATAATATTATTTTGACAGTTTTCTCTCATTCTAATTCTTGTACGCTTTTTTATTGAATACAACTGTACATGGTTGTAGAATTTCTTATATCACATTAGTTAAATTACATATTGTAGTGTTGCTTCAGTCTTCTCTTAAATATATTGAAGTTACTTGAGTTTTTGACATTTTCCGGTAACGAGTTGTAAGATAGTACGCTTGTATTGATGGTGCTGCATTTCCCATGATTGGTTAAAGGTTGTTGTTGATGAATGTGTGTTCTGATACGTGTTTCATAGTTATGATGTTAATTAAGGTCTTCAGCAAAAGTACCATTTTTTAAATAAACTAAAATGACCGCCATAGCTTACGTAGTTTGATGTTACCTCATTGTTGGATTCCTTAATTTTTTTTCAACTAACCATGTAAAATTCCAATATGGCGGCCATAGAAAAAACAAAACATGGTGGTGCTACCTTAAAATCCAGTATGCAAAAAAATCCATCTCCTAAGCTAATGTAGATCCCATTTTTAAACTTTCAGTGTATTATCTAAATACTATATTTTGAAATTAAAATCAAGCAAAATTTGTTATTAAAATGATATTTTTTGAGAAATGTAAAATATTTATTTCTTCTTTTAACCCCCAACACAATGCTTTAAATTTTTAAGATTTTATTTTGTAAATTACAAAAAATTAGAAAAGTAAATTAAAGGGGTTTGAGCAATATATTGCGGGGTAAGGGGTAAGGGGAAGTTGCTTTCATACTTAAAGCGTAAATAGCGAAAGGTACCAACTTTTAAAAACAAAATTCACTTTGTCATTTTATTACATTTGATTTAAAAACGGCCAATTTTCTAACTGATTTTATAATTATTTTTTATTTTAATACAAAAGACCGTGATTTAAACGTTGATAGTTGATTTCCATGGTAACGCTTTTCGTCTTTTGACAGTTGCTGTGACATTTCTTTATGTAGTGTTAATTTATATCTTAAAAAGTTGTAAAAACAAATTATTATGTTCTGTAAAACGAATGAAGTCCACCGCAAAGATTAAATTATTAAAAAAAAGGTATGGGAACCAAAAATAAAGCAAGAGAAAACAAAGATAAGAAAACCATAAAAGGATTGTCTGATTATTAAAAAAACAAAGTTTTTTTTAAATAATTTACTTTAAAAACAAAATTATCACCAAATAAATCAAATATCCCTAGATAATCACGTATTCGTAATCCAATGTTGCCGGATTTTTTAGACGAAAATGACAAATTGATAATTTTGTTTGTAAACAGTCAACTTTATTATTATTATTATTGCAAAACCGTTGGGTGAAAGTTGACAAAAATGTATATGGCATATGAGAAAAAAAATTAATTAATGTTTCAATATCACGTTAGAAGATATAAATTAATTAAAGACATGGGCTGTATAGCAGATGTATTTAATTAACGCATATCTTATAAAATTGACATATAAATTTTTGCCAAAACAGTTTTTAAGTAGACTCTACTACAACCTAGAATTTTCTTATAGCGACTAGACCATAAGTGACTTTTTTCAACTGAAGTCATGATTTTTTCAACCCTGGGTAAGCGGCTTACTTAAACTAATCTTAGATTTAAGCAACAAATAAATTAAGAATGGTTTGACTCGATCATTTGCGCAAAAATCCAAAATTGAAACATAACACAAAAAATATTTTTCAAGCGAGGTAAAAAGGCATAATTTCCACTTACTTTATAATCGTTTCTGGACTGGTGCAATCTTCGAAACGTATCGTGTAGCCGACTTCCTGGCCCAGCCGGCAACCGAACTCTTCTGCGACGCGTTTGGCGACGGACATGGCGGCAACACGACGCGGCTGCGTGCAACCGATTTTGCCGCGCGCTATAAAGCCAGCTTCGGCGAGGTACTGAGTTATTTGAGTCGTTTTGCCGGAACCGGTCTCGCCGATGACGATGAGGATCTGGTTATCGGTCACGGCCTACAAGCAATTTATATTGCTAATTTATATTTAGTTTCTAATTTAAGAAGGATTTCAGACAAAACAAACTTTGATTTTTGCAATTTCTATCCTACAATTGTAACTTGAACTTACAACTGGATAACGCTTATTGAAAAGGAACCAGTTTTTATTTTTTTCTCCTCATTGTTTTCATACATGATAACATTATATTTGGTGCTCTAAACACGGAATTTAACATGCAAATGAATGCAGCACATAAATTTGAAATATTATGTCAATTTAATAAAAAAAATATATTCTTAAAGTAACAACAATTACAAACAAGTGAAAAAATACTATGGCTTTAGTTTTACACACTACACATAAAATATATAGAATATGATCTTTGTACAAAACTTCCAAAATATTTGATCTAAAACGTAGACAATTGCAATTAAAAGATAAGTTTTCAAGTGCTGTAAAGTCACAGCGAATACTGCGCAAGCGCATATGTACTACCATAAAAATTACTTTCGGTATTTTTCTTTTTCTCTTACGACTCGCTAAAACCTATTTTTAATGTATAGACACTGTTTATAATGTTTACGGATACAACGAATTTAAAAAAAACTAAAATTGTGATATTTTGAAAAATAATTCATATCACAAAATCTAGACGTGATAGAAAAAATCGGCCAACGGGAACAAATTCAGAGCATTACAATCTTCATATTTGTGATGTAATTTTTTGAAGGATAATTTTTTTGCAGACCAGTGTAAAATAACAAATTTTTAATAATGCTCAAAAGGTTGGTAGGGGGTTCCCAAATCACTATTAATTTTTTGAGTAGCATTAAAATTTTGCAAATAATTGTTTACCCCAGAAAAAGTTTTTGGTTCCGTTTCGATAAACGCTATCAAATTGTAACTTGAACTTTTATTCAAGGCGTTTTGTAAGTTTAAACATTTCTGTGAAATCGGAATTTCAATTTCAATTTACCGTTTTCGAGATATTTACATAAAAAAATCTCCTAATTACGTCTCTAGGCTATTGACAACGTTGCCAGCTTTTTCTATGGTTGCCAGTGTGTTTAGTTTAAGATTCTTACGATAGATGGCGCCACGTTATAATATTTTTGTTTTAAAACCACTTGATCTATAATTTTAGTTGAGAAGAAGAAGAAGAATTGATTTTTTGACGTTTCTTTTTTTCGGGTTATGTTTTTTTTAAATTTAGATTATTGAAAATCAACGTTATTGTTATGTTATTTGTAATTGATATTAGATAAGTGATTTATTAATAACGGACTCCAAAGCAGAGGAATCTTGTGGAATGGTTGGTTACATTAAACATTGGAGCTTTTAAACAAATAAAGAAAGTACCTACCTATAATTATAATCATATTTTGTCGTAAATGCATTTCATTAGTATAATGCCTAGTTCTTTATATTCTTTTAGATATACATATCTTAAAATGTACTCTAGAGCATAGTATCTTCGAACAGTCCAAAAGTTTGTCATACATTTTTTTAATCTCACAAAAGGTTTTGATGCTCATCATCAGGGATGCAAGTTTTATAAAAACTATACACAAATATCATAAATACCATTGTTAACTTACATTTACTGTTATTTTTGGTAAATTTATTTCATTCATTTTCAGCTTTATTTTGCCACTTTTTTCTATGAAATATATTAAACTCTGCTTTAGACAGTTATTAGGTACCTATTTATTACATTTTATTAGGTTTCACACGGTGTTTCAATGTGTAAACCTATCAATAAAACTTTTAATTTCAGAATTTTCTTTAACCTCCTCTTCTTCTTCTTTCACTCAACTGACAGTGACAATATTTGTACATAACCTCTTCGGGTATTTTCTGACAACCGAATGAAATCATTAACAAGACAACTTGACAATAGGGTAATTTTCAACCAATAGAAATCTTGGAATGTTGGTCACATGGCGAGGTTTGTGACGTCATAAAAATTTATGTTTTTTGTAAATATCTCGAAAACGGTACTCAATTGAAATTCTGATTTCACAGAAATGTTTAATATTACAAAACGCCTTGAATAAAACCATAAAAAGTATAGGTCAGAAAAATTTAACTACCCCATTGTTTAAGTATGTTGAACATATTGTAACAATTGAAAGATCAAGTTGCAATTATAAGTTCAAGATACAATAATTGTAGAATTAACCTACAATAGTGGGATAGAAATTGCAAAAATCAAAGTTAGTTTTGGCTAAAACTGTTAAAAATTTTGTTGGACCTTCTACGCCTTTGTACTAATTAATAATCAACTAAATGTATTTAGAAATTTTTGTATTTGTACGGATATTTTACCGTTTTAGTTGACTGTGCAAAAAACTTATAGATAAGTAAACATTTTTATTTTTAACACCGTCTACCGGAAAATGTTGTTCTTGTTGGATTATTTAACTGAAATTTTCAGAAAATACTATTTAATTAAAGGGGCGAATCATATTTTTTTACCGCTTTTCTTAAATTAGAAGTAAAAGTTTAAATTAATTCATGAATTAGTTCACAAATTAATTTATGCCAATCCTGAATCTAATGTTTAAAAAGTTTGGTGATAGTTTCAAGTTTATTTAAAAAAAACTGACGCATTACCAGAGTAAAAAAACATGTATATACATACTTTTCTTAATTCTTCCTTAAGCTTGTAGATGGGTAAAGATTGCCTTTGTTCAACTATAGTCAAATTGGTCTTCTTACCAAAAGAAGACTTTTTACCGCCAATAACGTGCTTTTTCCATTCGGGAAGATCCTGAGTTTGCAAGCCAATACCCCTTGCTTGAGAAGGTTTATCTTCCTCTGAAAACAACAATATGCGTAAATAAGCTTTCCTACCTGGGAAGGGTTCTTATTTACCTTCTGGAAGCGGATCAATCCAGTTTTTGTTTTTCCCCGAGGGTTGAGAGTCGACTTCCGCTTCTCTCTGGAGCATTTTCTGTTCCCTTCTTTCCTTAGCCAAAGCAGACTGCATCATGGCGGCTTGCGCTAAGGAGCCATCTGGATTTTTGACAATTCTAAAAGGGAAAAAAATAAATAGGAAAACTTTTGTTTTTGTGATGCACACTTACCTTACTGGGCTTAAGTCGTGCATTGCTCTACCGTGCCCGTGCAAAAATGGCGCTTCATCTTCAACCAGTTCTATTTCAATGTCGGCTTCGCCGTCTTCGTCTTTTGGTAAAAGTCCGGTTTCATCGTCGAATTCTGGGAGTTCACTTTTATCTATGCAACCGGACGAAATCATCTGAAAAATAATATTCAAATTAAATTTTATCTTAACTTACCCAATTATAGATTTTAAGGCTTTCAAAGAATCAAATTCCACCACCACTATTATAAAAATGACTCTGATAAACTCTAAAAGCACATTGTTTATTAGTTCTAAAAATAAATTTGCTGTCGTAAATTTCTTCCATGAGGTTTAAAAGATTTTTTCTCGATTCGCCGTTAAAAAGTTCCATAGAATTAAAAATATCTCAAAAAGTTTTCAACCTTTAAGATAGTTTTGTTCCTGTTTATAAGAAAGTTTTGTTCCTATTTCTAATAAAAAGTGATCGATAAAATCAGGTTTTTACCCCGAAAATTCTCAAAATGCATGATATGGTTTTGATCATAGAATACAATTTTACAGTTTCAAGCCGGCCCAGCTGGATAATAACCAAGATACAAAATGGAAAAGACAAAGTTTTGCACAAAATTTGGTTTTTTTTTCAGGACGGAAATTTTAAATTTCCTAAATCCATTGATGTAGATTGTACGTTTAAATGGTCAAATCTTTTTGCTCCTTAGTGTATTTACGTTTTGAATGAATATTACTTTTTTATTTTTATTACGCACAAAAGGTACCTACACCTAGTAAATATCGATTTGAGCATTATATAGGTAATAGCGTTTATTCGTTATTGTATAATTGTTCAGTGCAATTTGTAATTTAATATTTTAACATAATAAATCTGTGGTTTTGTTGTGTACCATTAGTTATGGGCAGTGTTTTAATAATTTGTACAACTGTACCAAATTCGGTACATTCGAGACTTATTTCGTACACTAATTTTAAAAAATGGTTTTTTGGTTTTAATCCATCTTCAATTTATTTTTTTATTTTTGTGCCATCGCCATGTCTTTAGTCTTATTGACATTTAAAGTGTATTTGATCCGCGGCCTCTGCATTGGTACCTTAGATTAGTACCTAAAGTTAATTTTTTTTATCTGGAGTGCGGCAATATAATTTTTATTTTTTGTTTTTTATTTCCAGTGGAAATTTTCCACCTTATTTTTTTAAATTTCAAAAAAATTTGATCTGCTTAGCTGAAAATAATGTGTAATATTTGTAAAACCAAAAACGTGACCATGGAGGCATTTAGCATAACTTAATCAAAATGAAGTTTTGCCCTTAAAAGTTCTTTTACTTTAGAATCCGATATTATTTTTGGCATAGTTATCTTTTTATATCGATATTATATAATAATAATTTAATTATTAACAGGTAAATTATCAATAATAAATATTACTGTCAATTTGACATTTTTTAAATACTAAAAATACTATACTAAATCAAACTGGCATAAGCTACCAACTTAATAATAAACAAACAAGAGTCCAAATAAAAAAATGAACTGTATGCATTGTTTAATAAATTTTGAGATTTGTATTTCCCACCAATTTGAACAATTTTTAATGTTGGTACAATGTGGTATAATAATTCCTTAGAAACTGGTATACATATTTTTTTGCTTGTTATGGTAAGTTGGGTTATTGACTTATTATGAGACAAGGAGTTTATGGCTTTTGTTTTAGACATATTTTCTTGACACACTGTATAGTATAATAGAAAAATTATTGTGAGTCTAAAAAGCTGGACATTACCTGAAATTAAATTTCATCTAATATTTTTGTGTTGCTAATTTAATATAAAAATTTAAATCCTACCTGTTTGATTTCCCATCTTTCTGGACTAGACATTTTGGTGATTTTCTTCCTGGAATCCTCTTCTCCTTCATCAGTACCTACAGGCAATCTAAACACACTAGTGGAGCTACTTGTGGGCCTATCCGGATTTCTATCCCTATCTTCCCTTTCAGAAGGAGCATGTGACAGCGGATTTAAATCCTTACCACTCATCTGGCAAACATCCTTCATCGACAAAGATACTTTCTGGCCAGTTACTGAGAGGATTTTTACTTTTACTTTGTTGCCTCTAGCAGTGACCTCGGAAACATTAGTAACTCTACCCTCAGCCCTTAATTGGGATATATGCACCAACCCCTCCCATCTCCTTTTCAACCCCTCAATTTGCACAAAACATCCAAACGGCACTATATTGGCTACTTTGCCACTGTATATTTTTCCTGGAACCGGATCATCATCCAAGTCTGGACTTCGTTCATGCTTATTCTTATTATTAACTCTATCATGTTTATCGTGCTTTCTTTCTCTTGATCTGCTTCTTCTGTCCCTTGACCTTCTTCTTTCCCTAGATCTTGATCTATGTCTCCTGCTTCGATCTCTATCTCTAGATCTGTTTCTTCTATCTCTATGGTGCTCTCTCGACCTGGATCTTGATCTGTTTCTTTTGCTTCTGTCCCCTTCTCTATGTCTATCCCTTTCTTTACTTCTACTTCTTTCCCTTTTTCTATCACCCTCTTTATTACTTGAAGGGGCTTGAGCTTCAAATTGTGCCATTAAATCAGCTACAACATCGTTATCTTCTTTTTTTTCTTTTGGCTTGTCAGCAGGCTTTTTTTCTTCTTCCATGGGTTTTTGGGATTCATTGGGCAAGGCCAGACCGGGAAACTTAAACGCCAAGTCATTTTTATCAGCGTCAGGTTGGGAACTTGCCTTTGAACTGTTTTGACCAGATTTTCTTGGTCTCATATGCTGGATTATTCTCAGCAAGTTGCTGACAAAAGAATCCGAAAATTCCGCCCCATTTTCAACAAGAACTTTCTTAAAACTCGATACGGTATCGTGTGTTTCTGATAGATGTATGATAAACTCGGCTAAAAATAGAGTTTTGTTAGGATGCTATAATACTGAATTTATTACAGTGTAATCTAAATTAATTACTTACCCAAGTCTTTATCATTCATTCCCAAATGGTTTTCCAGCTCCGTACATACTTTGGAAACCAAAGATAAATATTCTAGCTTCTCAACTTCATTCATTTTGAATGTTTTTATTTTTTAAACGTTTTATAAACACACATAACCTCTTCATTGAAATGACAGATGCGGTATGTTTATATACCCAGTGTTGCCAATGTCAAATAAAAAAATCACCACCAGTCATGACCTTTTAAGGGTTTGTGATTTGCACAAATATATGATTACAAATAAAACACAGTTTTTTAGTTAATAAAGCTTTTATTTATATTTCATTAGGAACAAACCAAGATTTATTAAACGACGTCAACTGTAATGTTGGCAACACTATATCGATAGGTACCAACTTGCAAAAACAAAATTTACTGTGTCATTTTATTAGATTTGATTTAAAAAACAGCCAACTTTCTAACTGATTTTTTTATTATTATTTATTTTAATACTAAAGGCACTATATACATATATATTGTAACAAAGGAACGTGATTTAAAAAACGTAAAAAATAGGATTTGAACGCGAAAATTGCGAATTATTGATAATTGGTTTCCATGGTAACGCTTTTTGCTTTTGACAGTTGCAGTGACATTTCTTAATGCGGTGTTATTTAAAATTTTAAAATGAGTTGTGAAAACGAATTATTATGTTCTGTGAAACGAACGAAATGAAAAATTATTATAAAAAGGTATGAGAACCAAAAATAAAGCAAGATACATACACCTTAAGATAGGATGGTGCGCATGTTGGGCGGGGCTTAATGACGTCACTTAATGAGTGTTTTTAAATATTTAACGTGCTTTTTAATTATCTAGCTACTCCTAAAATTCTTGTTTTTGCGATGCTTTTGGATTTTAACTTGCTCTACTTGTCGTTTTTGTGTTCGGTAAGGTTCGAATTACTTTTCAGCGTTGAAATTATTGTTATTGCGTTAGGTTAACCTGTTAGGTTTGTTTATTATTGTTTTTGTGTTGCGTTAACTTGTTTTGTTTGTGTTTTAGATTTGCATTTATTAAAATGCGGTGTGGCATATTTGGATGCAATTCGGACAACCAGTCCAAGAAAAACCCTTTAAATAAAAACATTAAATTTAATCGATTCCCGAAAAAGTTTGATTTGTGGAAACAGTGTTTAAATGCCACAAAAATAATAGACAATATTTACGTTAAGACCGCTTCTGTTTCCTATAAACATTTTCTGGACAGTGACTATATATAAGTTTAATTTAAAACACCAACGCCTAAAATAAAGCCCTAAATGTTATCAAGGACTGAAAGCATTTATTATCCATATTATAACACTTTCTTCAATATTAAGTTTAATAAAAACGCACTATGTCCAGAAATTTCTCTATTTTCTTTGATAATATTACTATTATTCGTGTATTCGCACGGCAACTACTCATCAAGTGACGTCATGCGCGGGACGAACCAAAACTCGTACACGGGAGCATCCAGCCCTGAAATAAAGCAACAGAAAACAAAGATAAAAAAACATAAAAGCATAAAAGGTAGAAGGATTGTCTAATTAAAAAATATATATATAAAAACAATAAATAAATAAATTAAACCAAATATCCCTAGATAATTACGTGTCCGTAATCCAGTGTTGCCGGATCTTGTAGACGAAAATGACTGATTGATATTTTGTTTGGACACAGTCAACATTATTGTTTACTATTGCAAAACTGTGCAGTGAAAGTTGACAAAAATTTACTTGTTAATTATTATACAGGGTGTTTCATACCAGGAGGCGAAAAATGAAATTCTATATTCAAAACGTCATTCTAAATAAAAATCTTTAATACTTTTTTGTTCTATCATTTTTCGTTTTCGAGTTATTCGAGTTCAAAGTTTTGAATTCAAACAATGAAAGGATAACAATATGCAATAATAGGATTCATAATTCTATAGCAACCAAAATATACATCCATGGAAACGTATATGTGGTCTTCTGCCTTATTTGTCATACAACCTGTCAGTTTATTGTAAATTTATAAACAAAATGGAATTTACGAATGAAGAATATGCAGACATGTTTTTATTTACGGGTACGCAAATGGAAATGCTTCTGCAGCTTCCCGAGAATATCTGCGTAGATTTCCAAATAAACGACAACCATCCCGCCGAGTATTTTCAGACGCATATCAAAGACTCCGAAGAAATGGCATTGGAAGCAAGCATACAGGAGGTGCGAACTTCAGACACAATGCTGGTCAAGAAGAGCAAGTAATTGACGCTGTACTTAACGAACCCGGCCTTAGTACCAGACGTATTGCTAGTAGGCTGGAAGTTTCTCATAACTTTGTTTGCACCCGTACCATAAGCAAAATGTTCAACATTTGCAGCCAAATGATCACGAGCAACGACTTCTGTATTGTTAATGGCTGCTTCGTCAACATGAGCAAAATCCAAATTTTATTTCTTCTATTGTATTCTCAGATGAAGCTACTTTTACCAGAGATGGTATTAATAATACCCATAATGAACATGTATGGTCGTTGGAAAATCCACATGCTATGAGAGTGAGACATTTCCAACAGAGATTTTCAATTAATGTCTGGGGTGGCATTTTCAACGGGCGAATTCTGCCAATTATAGTCCTTCCCAATAGACTAAATGCCGAATCTTATTTAATGTTTTTACAAAATGAACTTAATGAAATGCTGGAAGATGTCCCTGTGGGTTTGCTAAATCGAATGTGGTTTCAACACGATGGGGCACCACCCCATATTGGTAGAAATGTAGTGAATTGGTTGAATAACAACTTCAATGGAAGGTGGATTGGTAGACGTGGCCCAATATTGTGGCCTGCTAGGTCACCGGATTTAAATTCGCTTGATGTTTATTTATGGGGACACATGAAACAGCTTGTCTATGCAGTCGAAATTACCACCGAAGAGTAGCTTATGCAAAGAATAATAGATGCGGCGGAGCAAATACAAAATGTACAAGATTTTGGACGAGTTTACAATTCTGTTGTTTTGCGGTGCCAAGCTTGTATTAATGCTGAAGGCCATGTTTTTGAAAATGTCCTGTATTATTACAGATAAAAATAAATAGTATAAACTACAAATTGGTCAATTGTCAATCAATAATTCTTGCTGACATAATAGCAATAAACTGACAGGTTGTATTACTTAAATAAGGCAGAAGGCCACATAAGGTTATTTTTTTTATCTGGACTAGTGTTTTTTTATTAAGTTGGTTGTTTATGTCAGTTTGATTAGTATTTTAGGATTGGTATCTCTGTTTTACATAATTTGACAGTTTTTGTCAAATGATTAAATTTAAACAGAGGAATATCAAACTCCAATGTATTTATGTGATTCAAAAAACGTCTCTGTACAAATAATTATCCTACAGGACAATAACGAAATACTATTTTGGTCAAAAACCTATTAAAAGGTAAATATTTTTTGATTTCTTAACCACAAATATTAATTTAGTTTTATAGCTGCCAATATAATAGAAATATTTGCCAACTAAACCCCTAAGTTTGCAACGTTGCCGCAGTCCAGATAAAAAAAATGAACTGTATTATAAACTTAAATACTTATACGTTTCCATGGATGTATATTATAGTTGCTAGAATTATGAATCCTATTATTGCATATTGTTATCCTTTCATTGTTTGAATTTAAAACTTTAAACTCGAATAACTTGAAAACGAAAAATGATAGAACAAAAAAGTATTAAAGATTTTTATTTAGAATGACGTTTTGAATATAGAATTTCATTTTTCGCCTCCTGGTATGAAACACCCTGTATAATATCGATTTAAAAAGATGCCTCCTCAATGGCAGAAAAAGAACATCGCCTTATGGACATTTTTCGAGTAAAAAAGTAACGTTTTTGGTTTTACAAATATTAAATCACACATTAGGTTCATTCCAACCAGCAGTAATTTCCAGTAATATTACTGATACACATGCGCGTTTGTAAAATGTCGTTCCAACCAACTAAAATTACTAGTTTAGAACTGGCAATTACTGTCAGTTCGTCGTTCCAACCAGAGTTACGAACAGTTAAATTACGGTTCAAACGATTCTTGCTCGAGAGCAAGAACTGTTGATAATAAAATTAGACGCATGCGTAGAAGGGGCACATAACCTCATCTTTTTGTTTATTTATTAACGTTTGTAATATTGTAAGTTTGTTTTCTGTTAAAGTGGACATATTATTTAAAAATGACTGCTATACAAGGTGATTTTATTAATTTTTAATCTTAATACATCTAATTTTTGTCATTTGTGAGCAGGAATGGAAGAATTTATTATCAATGTGTGATGTTATTAAAATATACTTTTATATATATTTATAAACTCAACAAACCTGGGTTATATTTATTTCTAGTAGCAATGTCCCCAATAAAATCTAAAACCTCGTCATCCGAAGAATCATACAAGTTATTATTTAAAAAACCTGCCATATTTATTACTTTATTGAAATAGATATACCTACCTATATGCGCTTTACTTAGCTTTTAGCACAATACAATTGTGGGTTTTAGGTTATATTCTTTTTCTTCTGATTGTGAGTAGGTACTACTAGTTCAAAAAAGGTTCCAACCAGTTTATACATTATTCAAAATAATTTTACTATTTTTGTTCGCGCAGTCGCATTAACGCTGTTACGGACGATAATATTACGGTAATATTACTGCTGGTTGGAATGAACCTATTATTTTTAGCTAAGCAGATCAAGTTAACAAAAATCCATTTTAGTGGTTTTTGGCCAGTAAATAAATTTTGGGTAGTAAAAGAGACAGGGGGCCCCACCTCAAATTATGTGGGGGGCGACCGCTTTTGTTAAAAGCTTTCAGAAAAATTCCAGCTCATATTTCATAAACTTGCAAAAAATGGCGAATGCGCCGGGATTAATACCAAATAAAAACCCAAAAATAATGGTTATAAATACACGAAAAACAACAATTATTAAAACAAATCATAAAAATACATTATTCGCACGTACCTCGTAAAAATAGCCGCGCTCTTGACACGCGCGCATGCGCCGTAACGAACGCCATCAAATTTAACACGCGCGTTTCTTTTTGACAATTTGAAAACGAACGTAGCCAGTGCAAATATTTTGCACAGCGAAAAAAATACACGCGATACT